TTTTTTTTACTAAAACTGCTGTGAGGAATGTTTGATTCTTCTGAGATATTTGCCCTGATTTGATTGGTCATAACATGTTAGAATACAAAATGATGTTTTTATAATATAAGTGAGGAAATTAGGGACAACACTGACTAAGGAATCTGTTCAAAGTCAGCCTGGTAGGTTATAAAGCACATTTCCTGATTACAGAAGATTACTCTTTCCATCCCACTGTGCTAGCTCCACCAAACTGGCTTTGAAACCTTGTTTTAGAAAAATAATGTTAAGTCCCTAAGAAATCCTTAGCCCCCAAGGAAGTATATAATCTGTGAAAAGAAACTGGCAATCTCAAATTACATTCCTTATTTTCTTCTTAATGTATTCAGGGACAAAGAAACTCATTTTAGTTTACACTATAAAAATTGTTATTTTTACCTCTTCATCCCTTTTCAGTTACCTGAGCTTATTTAATGGAGAATCTACATGTCTCACTATTAACAATCCTGTTACTTATAGAACTGTGTTTTGTTGCTTCATTCAAGAAATTTTATCGTATTTGTCCAGCCTGTAAAATTATAATAACCAGCCAGTCCCCAAGGCAGAAGTACATAAATACCAATTAACCCAAAAGATTTTGCTATTTTGTAAGACCCCAAACTGACAAACCCTTATCAGTAACACAATAGCATACAAGTAAAAATACTATTATAAAATTTTACAGTGTAACTAATCTTACATTTGAAATTTGTAATATTCCTAGTTTTTCTTTATAATGTCTGAGATTTTGATTTTAAAATGCTTTATGAAAGTATCAATGATGAATGTTACAGTTTTAATACTCACACATGACAAAATTTAAGGCAGCACCTAGGTTGGTCCCAATAGTTTTCTTTCTCAAATACTACTTAAAAGCAACTTTAGGTTCAGAGCAAAATAGCCAAAGATACAGAGATTTTCTGTATAATTCCTGGCCCCACGCATGCACTGCTACCTTCATTACCAACATCCCACCAATGGTGGGATGAGCCTACAGTCAATGAGCCTACACTGACACAACAGTCACCAAGTCTATGGTTTACATTACAGCTCACTCTTTGTGGTGTATGTTTATGAACCTGGAAAAAATATATGACATGTATTTACTATTACAGTATCATCCAGAGTAGTTTTATTGCCCTAAAATCCTGTGCTCCACTGAAAAGTTTTAAAAATTTACAATTTTGTGAAATATTTTAAGAAACCACCTAGAAATATTCAGTGTAATAAAAATTAATATTAATATTTTATATATTTTTTGAATTCTTACTGGGAACTGTAGAGTAGAACAAAGATGCTCTTCTAACTTGGATCAATGGGAACCAGCAATCTGCATAACACAGTGCAGTCAAAGGCTTGATATTTCTCCTATCCAAGTACTAGCCAGGCCCAACCCTGATGAGCTTCTGAGATCAGACAAGACTGGGTGTGTTCAGGGGATATGGGGTAGACACATCTAATGAACCTGATCTAATATTCACAGCTCTTGCAATTCTTCTGAATTAGCTAAGGCACTGACTTTTTTGAGGTGCATGAGGATTAGCTATTTCCTGTAATCTCTGTACCAAGTTAGAAGAAAAAAAGGATTCGAGCCTGGATCAAACTGTCTCATATATGTATTTCAATAAACGTTTTTAGCAAGCACATAGAAAAACTTACGCATTCTGTTCTGTGAATTCTCTGAAGCCACAATGTTTTGGTAAGTTCACCCATCACTTTGCATGAAACTCCCACTTAATGTAGGCCTGGCAATATTCCAGATAAGATTGTCCTTACCTAGTTAGTAACAGCAACCAAAAATCTTTAGGCAAAAATGGTAGGAAGCAAGACCATTTAGAGATTAAGCCTCAGCACCAATCCCCATGAAAATACATTACAGACCTTACAAGATTATTTCCATTTCATGGAAGCATGAAGAACTTCTAGTCCACATATCCTGAGTATCTCTAGCTTTGCCAATAAAAGCTACTACTAGGATTTATTATACTAATCAAGACACTTTTAATTCCAAAAGAAAAATCTACTTCAACACTTACTATCAAAACCTCTGACCATGATTAAGATAAAGATACTAGAAGTACTTCTAACAGTTGCTGGTGGGATTTCTAATTAAAATACTAGCTGTCAACTAGTATGGTAGTAATGGGAAATCCATTACAGCTACTGACAGAGGGGTACACATAACCTGACTGGTCAAAACAACACAACCTACTGAAGAGAATGTAAATTACAAACTTATTTAAAAATACTATACTTCTCCAGTTCCTCAGGAATCAAAACTAACTTGATAAGGGAGAGGCAGTGTGAAGATGAAGCAAAGTCTATTCTGAAAGATCCCCATCCTAAACTGTTCAGAATGGCACATGCTACCCTTTCAAGCAATTATAAATAATTTTACTAGGACTCCTTGACAACATCACAGAAATTCTGTGGCTTATTATATAAATGATTGTGTTAAGTATTTGTATTAAAAAAGTGGAATTTAATGAATTATTTTCATTTTTTTTATTACTTTGAACTTTTACATCAATTCCAGGTAGAAGTTTATCAAATGGAAAATTAGTTTTTTAAAAAAGATTACCTATCCATTTATGGTAAACACAATTACACAGAAAATGAGAGAAACTCCAAAAAGGCAAAACTAAAATTCTTACCTAGATTGTGTTCTCCTATAATGCTATGTGTGAAATGGCAGTACCAAAGTGTCAAGGGCTCTGCTTGAGGAAGCATTTCCCCTAGTGGTCATTCATTGGAGCTAAAACAAAATTAAACTAGCAAAAGAGAATATTAAACTAATTAACTAGTAAAAGAGAAAATTAAACTACTTCAAAGAAAATACACATAAAGAGGAAATTTTTTATTGATTGATTGGTAGGATGGGGTTTGAACTCAAGGATTTGAGCTGGCAAAGCATGTGCTCTACAGATTGAGCCAGACCTCCAGTCCCTTTTGCTCTGGTTATTTTGGGTCTTGCAAATTAGTTCTTCAGGCTGGCCTGCAACTGTGATCTTCCCAGTCTCAGCCTCCTAAGTAGCTAGGATTACAGGCATAAGCCACCATTCTTTATTATATCAGTTTAAAGTGATTTGGAATGAATCATGAGTTTCTTGATTCTAAATAGTTGAAAACACATGCAGCTAAAAATGATAGCTTTAAATGTGCAGATACTCATTCTTCCTTATTTATAGTTGTAAGTTCCAACTTTAAAAGAACGTTAGATTGAAATAAATTTAGAGGTAAATGGTCAGAATTAGTAACTAATATGCTAAAAGATTATCTGAAAGTGGGTATTCTTTTATCTAACAAATGTTTATTGAATGCCTATTATATCCTAGCACTGTTCTAGGTGCACAACATACAAGTGAACAAAAATTTAAAAATTACCCTATTTTAAATTTTTTGCATGAAGGAGGGGTTCTACTAAAAAACAGAAAACCTAGTAGGGCACTGGTGGCTCACAGCTATAACCTCGCTACTCAGGAGGCAGAGATCAGGAAGATCATGATTCAAAGCCAGCCCAGGCAAATACTTTGCAAGACCTTATCTCAGAAAACCCCATTACAAAAAAAGCTGGTGGAACGGCTCAAGTGTAGGCCGAGTTCAGGCCCCAGTAGCACACACACACACACACACCAGAAAACCTAGACAAATTCTAAAAGTGCTATAAAACACTGTAATACTGCCCTCTTTTAAATATAAAGGAAAACTGTAGTTACTGAAATACTGACTAGCTATTTCCAAAATTATGTTTTAGATTTTTTTTGCTCTTGGTATTTATCCAAACAAAAAAAAATATTTTGACATTTACCAGATTCATTTCCTTCCTAAACACATTACTACACTTCACAAAATCCCAAGCCCTGGTATAGCAGCTGGGCATCAAGAGACTGCCTGAGAGATAGTCAACGTCAGAACTGCGCATGTGCCAGGGAAGAGGTCCTGCAGCAGCTGTGGAGCTGCTGCCCAAGGAGCATCTGCTAACACACTCTAAGCCATCTTCCTCCAGGGTTCTAGGGTCGATTTTAAGGAGGGATATTGCAAAGGTGAATTTTGGTGAATATCACTGAATGCTTCTCAATCATCATTAGTTTGGAACACTTATTTGGGGTAAAGGGTGGTCATAATAACTAGAATTAATGGGTAAAGGCCAGGAAGGTTTACTGAATCCTGCAATGGCATGGCAGTCTGTTCCCATGAAGAAGTGTCACACCCAAAAGGATAAGAGTGCCAGTCTACATTATGCCATTGTCATGTGGTACAGTTAAGAAAGACACTTCACATTTTAATCATGTATTTTTTTTCTGCTCAATATTTGTAGGCCACAAAAAATGTTTCAGTGAAAACTGCCCAGGAAAGTACAAAATCACTTAATGACTGTTTTTCTATACCTCGGTTTATTATAGGCAAACAGGAGGTATCTAATTAAATACTTAAAGCACCAAACAGTTCTGAGAACAAAAAGAAAATTTAAGTCTGAAGGCTGTTTTATATACTGCTCACAGGCTTTTTCAAAGGCATACTTTAAAAATCATATAAGGAATTGTTTGGACTGTTTTGGTGGCACCTCAACTTTAGAAGGATTGCAAAGAAATCTCATGCAAAAGCAATCACTCCAATGTAAACTGTTATTAAAACAACAGTATTCTTCGTAACAGTGGTTCCCAAACTTAGGCACACATAAGAATTTCCTGGGGGACGCTTGTTAAAATAGATTGCTGGCCCCATCCCAAGTTTCTGAGAAGTTCCCAGGTGATTCTGATATTGGTCTGGACATTTTGCTTTAAAATCTAGTCTTCAGAACTCAAACTAATAGGCCCAAATGCTTTTGCTTTTTCTAACACCAAAGAACATTTCAGATATGGCTTCACCAAACTTTAAATCTTTAGACTTTCACCTAAACAGAACATACATAATTCATTTTGAGTCAATGATTACCATGAGTTTAAAAGACAGAATCATAGAACAGCCCAATAAACTGAATGTATGACTACGTGAAAATATTTATTTACAAAATGCACAGGAATTGTTAACTTATGGGGGACTTGCTCCTATTTCCTCCATGCTGATTCTTTACAAATAATCCACCAGAACTCATGAAGAATACTGCAGTCAGAATTAGAACACAAGCAATCATAAATGCACACAGAAGTATCATAGTGAACTCTCCAACTCAAGACCCTGCTTCAGGAACTTCTATATCAGGGCAGCAGTAATATTCCACAAAACATATTTGTCCATCTTCATTTCTAATCATATACTGTAGTGAGAGAAATCCTCGATTATCTGTCCGAATAGATACCTTACAAGATAAGACTAATGCCTTTGTAGAGGGTTTCAGTAAAGAAATCTTGTATCTGTAGAAAAGTAAATAAAAAACTGTTATTAGACACTTGATGCAGTGCTCCTAACTCCAAGTAAAGGACAAAAATTAGCCAAGAATAAAGTAACAAATAAGAATAAAATCAAATACTTACCAATTTGCTAGTATTTTTTTCCTCCGCTACATCCTACCATTCATTTTTTTAAAATGCTATGCATTTTTATTAACAGATTGAAAGCTTTTTTTTTTAACTAGAAATCTGGTATTTAACATCACCTTTATCACCAATAGCAACCTTTATATTAAGAACTGACCTGTTGACTTGGGTCTGATTACAATGAAATGCTTCCATCAAATCAGAATCTTTGGGATAGTCAAGGTGGGAACTTCCTGCATTTCCAAAAGTAGATAATCTAGAGTAGAAAATGAACAACTATAAACAACATTAAAATCCAAATGAAGAAAACACTTCCTTAAGAAGCTCGTTCTGGTGGGTTAAAGAGACATATAAAAACTTGTTTACCATAAACTTTATTATGTATTTACTTAATTCTGTTTCGTTCTGAGACAGGAATCTTCTATGTATACTAGACTGGCCTTGAATTCGTGATCCTCCTGCCTTAGCTTCCGACGCTGCTGGGATTTCAGGCACAAACCATCATGTCCTTCTACAATATACTTCACAAGCACAATGAAGGCTCCCACAGGATGCTGTGAGAGTACATGGCAGGTAGCAACTGATCAACAGCTTTGACAAGAATCACATTAGTCTGTACTACCAATTGATATTGTCGTTTCCTCACCTTTAAATCTAGAAATATATAATGGAGAGAGTACTGAAGCATGGTGAAAGACTTTTATCTAAATCAACTGCAAGCCTTGGGTCCTGTTTCCAATCTTTACTTCCACACCAAGCAATTATGGCTTTTTTTTTTTTTTTTTTCAGTACTGGGGTTGAACTCAGGGTCTTGTGCTTTCTAGGCAGTACTCTACCACTTCAGCCATAGCTCCAGCCATTTCCGACATAGAGTCTTGCTTTAGGCCTGGGTCAGCCTGGACCACTATCCTCCTATTTATGTTTCCCCGAATAGCTGGAATAACAAACGCCACCACACTCAGCCACTGGTTGAGATGGGATGTTGTAAACTTTTTGCCAGGGCCAGCCTCAAACTATGATCTTTCCAAGCAATTATGGCTTTTCTGTACCTTAGGCTGCTCTTAGCAGGTTTTTGGTTTTCCTTGCTTTGCAACATCAGCAGTTGCATGTAGATAATTTTCAATTTAATCTGCAAGAACTCATTGAGCATTTGGGTCTGCACGCTGATACATACATGCTGATCACTGACAGTGACCAGACCTAGGTGTTTGTTTCGCCCATGTCCATTCTCTACCTTTCCTTTCTATGTTGGTTTTCCCTAGGTCCATCTTTTCCCCATTCTTCTAACATAACCACTGTCTCTGGGTATCTTATCAAGTATTATGCTCAGCTGTGATGATGGCTCCCACATCTAAATTTCCAGTCTAGCTTGAGTCTGAGCACTATACCCATATATTCAATTACTCCCTATTGTCACAGCACCTCAAATTTAACACATCCAAAAAAAAAATTTAACCCCATTTCCCCACCCCTGAGCTGTTTCTCATCCTGGAGATGAAAGATCTATGAACCATCTAGTTACCATGTTGACAGCTCATTTGAAGTAGAACCTCTGAAACACTTTAACTGCTTAAGGGAGGTGTACTGCTTTCTATTTGGGTTAACATTTTAACACACCCTAAGACAAATTTTCACCTGCTTAATGCCAGGAGAAAGACCTGCAATTATTCTAATGAAGACACAAAAAGGACAACTTATATCTCTACTTCATATACATTTAACTCTCTACTCTTTTAAATATTCTAAAATATTACCAAAAAAGAAACATTCAGATCCTTTCTCTAAATATTAGGCTCTCTAATAAAGGCTTGCTATTTTATGCTTTGTTGGCACAAAATATTAAGAAAAGCTCTATAGTGCTGACATTGTGTTCCTCCCCGGGAAGCCTACCTTAACCAATCCTGAGTACTCATGTACTGTCACCCCCAACTATCTATGGGTGTTATTTTGGTACTTAATAGTTTGCAATTTTGTTCCTTCTTGTTTCACATTCTCTCACCTTAATTTTATGCTGTTCCTCCGAGTCTTAATAAAATGGATATGCACACAGGAAATAAACCATGCATCAGAAATACCTACTTCCTTTTGTATCCTGAGCTAACTAAAAAAAGATGCCACATTACACAACTTCTTGAAATGTTTAAATCCAATTTTCCTCATGATGTATCCTGATCCACAATTACTGCAATAATGAAAAGACTATTTTCTAGGTGTTAATCTTTGCTAGGTCCATCTTTTGTCTCTCCTTCTATTATGGATTAGAGATTGGGCTTCTCATCTACAAAACAAAACTACCTAACTAGGAAGTCCTAATTAGTTATTCTTCCTAGGTCTTAAGCTTCCTAGGTCTCTGTAAAATTGTAAGGTAAGAGCAAAGGCTCTTCAAAGTTCTGCAAACTAATAAAATGTCTAAGTGGGGAGACAGACCCACCAATAAGACCACATTAAGTATAATTATACTCAAGTACCTGAAATACGGCTTTTCAGGAGACATGGTGATCTGCAGGACCTCACTCGTCATATCCAATTCAGAAAATGCTTCCCGGAGCCCCTCTGACTGCAGGATAACCTTATTAATAACATTGGTGCTGCAGAAATCAAAATCCAGAGTCTCATCAGGCTCCTGAGTATTGATTTTGCAGACTGTCACCACTCCTCCTTCTTCCAGAAATAGCATCAAAGGGTGGCCATAACCTTGGTAACACATCCGAAGTGCAGTTAAAGTCCCTGCAGTAGAAAGAAAGCATATGGGCTTTATGGCTCTGCGTTCAGCTTCTCCTCAATGATACACAAAATTCCTCAAGAATTCCTCTGTGAAATTTCTAGCCTATATGTATCTTCTTATCAGAAAGAAACAACTCCAGAAATATCTGAAATAATACTGGGGACCAGAACAAAATGGAATTCTGAAATCATTTTCAGCTTGCCAAAAAGACTCATAAACAGCTTATTGATCTTACATATACACTAAGTTATAAAGATGGAGAATCTACAAGGATTAACAAGGCAAGCAAAGAATTACCGCAGAATAGCCTATGCTATTTCTTGAAGGTTCAATTTGTACAACTGATATTGGATTGCTCTGATCATGTCAGTTTATCCATATGATAAGGATCTTTCCAGCTCTTCTTCCTATTGGGAAACAGTATTTATAGTTCCTCAAATTTGAAGATCAAATTGGGAGCAAAAGAGAGTGGCTAATAGCAGTGTGGATTTTAACACTTCAAACCACTAGAGGTAAGGCGGAATATGATAAGACATTCTAGCTTCTTCTCCTTATTGGATGGACAGTCAGTGAGGAATGGTAGAAGGCAGATGCTTTTATGAGAAAACATTTAGCTGGCAGTGACTTATGCCAATAATTCCAGCTACCTGAGAGGTGGAGATTGGGAGGGAGGATCTTGTTCAAGGCCAGGAGGGGCAAAGAGTTAGACCAAATCTCTATAAACAAGCCAAGTGTGATGGTGCATTCTGGAATCCCGGCTATGTGGGAGGTATAAATAGTAAAATCATGGTCTGAGGCCAGCCAGGGCAAAAACCAGAGATCATTTCTGAAAAACTACTAAAGCAAAAAGGGCCAGAGGGGTGACTCTGGTACAGTCCTTGCCTAGCAAGTACAAGGTCTTGAGTTCAAACTCCAGTTATGGCCACAAGAAAACAAACGAACAAAACCAACAATTGGGAAACAATACATTAGAAAACATAATTATCTGTAATCCCAGAACCCCAAAGGCTGAGGCAGGAGGACCTCAAGTTCAAGGTGAACCTTCGATATAGGATGAGACCCTGCCTCAGGAAAAAAAAAAAAAAGAAATTACATAATTTATAATAGAGGAAATGTCAGTGCAAAATTAAAATATATTTTTCTAGACAATCATAACTGAATTTTCCCTAGAAAATATCCAGGTTGTTTTCCTATGAGGTAAAATCATCTTTCTGGACATTCCTTATAGTTTTTTATCTTTAGCAACTGAATCTTACTATTCCTAAAAATAATTTCCTAAGCAAATAAAAAATCTTTTATTTTTCTTTTATTCATATGTGCATACAATGTTTGGGTCATTTCTGCCTCCTTCCCTCCACCCCCTAAAAAATCTTAAAGGAAAATATCAAAAAAATAGTGACATAATTTATAAAGAGGTTTTTAAATTTTTTCTTTTTCAAGTAAATAAAATTTTGAACACAATAAACTGGAGGTCAGGAGAATTCATTTCTATTTTCCTCTGCCACTCAGTAGCTATAGAATTCTAAGTTGGGGAAAAGATACAACTGAAACACACTTCACAACTTAAACATATTTATGACTGTTTAAAGTCTTTTCTGTCAGTTTGAATTTAAAATCCCTAAAACCTTGTAAATTATGACTGTAAATACTTTCACAAATATGAAAAGAACTATAGACTGAGTTGATATTTCAAAAAGTCATAATACACGACTGTGACCACTGCAAAACGAACTGGCAATTTTCTAAAGAAATGTGTATATTTTAAGTAACTTCCTGCATTTTTCTGATCATTTCATACAATAAATACTTATATCTTCATAATGATAATAGAATAGCTCACCTGGCATAGGATTTGATCCAAAGATAGATAGACAGTCTAACAGGACAGTCAAATTAATCCGAAAAGTAACAGACTCTTCCTGAACTGTAAACTCCTGAAATATTCCAGCCTATGAAAAAGCAAGCATGAAAATGGGGTTATTAAGAAATGAAAACTCAATGTACGATTCTAGATTTCACTTGGTATGTTTTAAGGATTAACAGCATTATGCCAATTCCACTGAGAATGATTTCTCATTACCAAGCAAAGCATCTTCGTTTTTGTCAACCATTACTAGAACAATACTACTGGACAGTTTATAAAGGTAGAACTGTGATTTAAGCACCATGCAAACCTTGTATAGGGTCCTTCACTTCGATTCCTGGATTTTAAACCTATCTCCTTTGTCTCTCTCTTTTTTTTAATGTCCATTAGTATAACTAAGATCACTTGAAATAAGGCAATTCAGCAGGGTACTGGTGGCTCATGCCTGTAATCCTAGCTACTTGGGAGGCTGAGTTCAGGAGGATCTCAGTTTGAGGCCAGCCTGGGCAAATAGTTCCAGAAAACCCCACCTCCAAAATAACCAGAGCAAAATAAACCAGAGGTGTGGCTCAGGTGGGTAGAACACCTGCTTTGCAAGCATGAAGTCCTGAGTTTAAACCCAGTCCTACCAAAAAAAAGACGTGATATTTGATAATGCATGCATGATATTAGTTTTCAATTTTTTTTTTTAAGAACCATGTCTTATTTTTTTGCTCCCTCTCTGAGGTCATACTGTATATTTAGGTGTGCAAAAACTTGCTTAATTGAATCAAATCCTAGTTGAACCATACAAATACTACTTCGTGAACAGATTCTATTACAGCAAGTAAAGGAAAGACATTAAAAAAATAACAGGGAGGTAATGTAGAAGACTGGGTCTCATCCCAATTCAGCCACTAACCAACTGTTAAGATGGCTGGCGTATTACTGAATGTCTGTGTCCACGTACGTAAAATGGGAATAACAACAGAGCATACCTTACTAGAGTACTGTGAAAATTAAAAGAGTTAAACACTCAGTACCTGTCCTAGTTTAGCTTAATACACTTTAGTCATTATTAACCATTATCTCCATAAAACAAATTGGGGAAAGAACGTTACCAGAAAATATTCAAATAATGACATTTTTGTTGTCTGACAAATTTTGTCTAGGACCTTGCGAATTCATTAAACTCGGGGTAGACTATCATGTCACAGGCTTAAAGATGTCTTTTCCCATACCTGAATAAAGGCATTTGCTTGCACACACTTTGCATTTTCCACTGTAACCTTGATTCCATTTTTAGTAGCAAAGCACGTGGCATGTTCTCGGAAATGAATTGCTTTCAAGATCGTGGACAGGTTTCTAACGTTGTCGAGGCTGGCCACTAAGCTGTACTGGTTATTCTCGTCTTGGATGTGCTGCGTGAGGAGCGGCATGGTCCAGCGCGCGTTGGGCCCCGAGGGACGCTCCTGGGGCCAACACCTGAGGCCGCGCAACAGACCGCACCAGTGGGCGGCCTGGGACCTGGGCCGCCGCCACGCCGAGCCCCACTGGATCCGCCGCTGCCAATCGCTGGCTCTACACCCTGGGGGATTACTGGGCAGTGACACGCGAAAAGGTGCAACAGTGAAAATACTCAATTCACACCCGGGACAGGCTTCGTCGGGACACACTGGTTACGTACCGCACAGGGCCCGTTCTGAGCCACCCCGTGCCACCAACCTTGCCTTCCACGGACCAGGAGGTGGCGGGCGAGCCCTACTCCTCACAAGATCCCCCAGGCGTCCCAGCCACCCGGTTCTCCAGCCCCGCCCGCTTACTAGTGGAGGGAGCGGGAGCGCGGAAACCCTGCCTCTGCACCGGGGTCCCCAGGAAGCCCTTCCCACCGCAGCTCGCGGGACAGCAAGGAGGAGGAACGTTCCGCCACTCCTTTCACACCCGCCAGCCGCCTCGGCCACCGTCCCACAGAGCCGGAGGAGGCTACAGAGGAAAGAGGAAGCATAGCGCTGTAGGACCGCCGGAGAGCCCCGCGGGCGGAACCATAGAGACCGGAACGAGGAACGAGCGGCAGAGCCGGAAGTACGGGCTAGAGCGGGACAGCAAGGCAAGATGGCGGCAACCAAGAGGAAACGGCGTGGGGACCAGGCAGGCCCGGCGAAAAAGCCGAAAAGAAACGAAAAAGATGCAGGAAAGACAGCTAAGTCTCCCGTCGTGGTACAAGAAGAGGAGGAAGACAGAGATCGTATACCAGGCCCCGTCTGCAAGGTAGAAGGGGCTACAGGGCTTTACCCGCGGCGGCCCCGTGCGCCTTCCTTGGGGGGCTGCCTGCCTGACTCCAGCCCGGCTCCCTGCGGCGGCGCGGGGTGTTAACCCAGCGCGGTCTCGGCCGTCTCCGCGCCGGGCAGTGTTTACGTCCGATCTTCGTGCACGTGGCCGTCGGCGTGGAGGCGGCGGTTTGTACTGACAGTGCATTAAGAGCTAGCGTTTGATTTGCAGTTAGGGTTTTTTTCTGGAGCGTAACGTTTTTCCTTACTTAGCTCGCTGTTGGGTTTGTCTCTTGGGGTAAGTCGTAGTTCCACATCCAGCCGTAGTCAGCCAGTGCCAGTCAGGCATCCGGCTGACCTTGGTTGGGACCGTCAGTCTGACTCGTTTGATCAGGTCTTTAACTTAAGGGATAGTGAAATTAAACTCGATGGCATGAGTTTTATCCGTTCCAACAAACTTTTAATGTGCCAAGGTAGACATCCTCTTGACTTGTAAGGATTACCAGAACGGGACCTCTTCCAGAAATGGAGTTGAGAAGGAAACGAAGAAGTCATAGAAATCAATAGATTTTAGAAGGCGAAGAGAAGTTCTTGATAGAGTGAACTTTGAACTGAAAGCTCCTTGAGGTTGAATAATGTAGAAACAAGGCTTGCCTTTGATTTATTAATTTGTGTCCTCCGCACTTAGCATAGTACTCTAGTACTTAGTAGGTGCTAAGTAAATGACCCTGTGCGGTGGTGCAAGGTAAGCTTTGGGAAGAGTGAGTTCTGAAGAATGAAAGATGAGTGTAATTGTGTCCTGCCATTAACGGTGACATCCCATGCTCCTTTCTCATCTGCAGAATTAAGAGGATGAAAATAACTTTCTGTGAAAAATAAATTGGACCTCTAGTAGACTTTCAGTAAATGTTAGTGCTCTTTCTCTTCTTTTTTTTTTGTGGGGATGGGTGGGTCTGAGGCTTGAACTTGGGGGCTTCTTGCTTGCAAAGCAGATGCTTTACCGTTTGAGCCACACATGTAGTCCATTTTGCTCTGGTTATTTTAGAGATGGGGTCTCGAGAACTATTTGCCCTGGCTGGCCTCGAACCGAGATCCTCCAGATCTCAAACTCTTCAAGTAGCTAGGATTACAAGCGTGAACCAGGGTGCCGGCTAAGAACCTTTCTTTTTTTTTTTTTGATGGTATTGGCATTTGAACTCAGGAGCCACGCCCCCAGTCCTCAATGAGCTGGAAAGAAATATGTTGGAATCTGTAATATGATTCACCTTGTGATACATTGTATGAAATGCAAATTACTTTTATCCTAGGTAATAAGGTAAGAATCATGAGACTTTTTGTCTTTAAGCTGGATCTTAAAGAAAAGGTACAATTTTAGTGTTCGAAGATGAGAGGGAAAGAAAAAAATTTTTTAAAAAAATGTCTAAGAAAGAACCTCAAGGGTCAGGAGGAGGAGTTGGGAAGGATTTTTCTTTGGAAGCAGGATCTCACTGTGTTGCTCAGGCTTACCTCAGTCTACTGGTCTCAAGCATTTCTCCTACTTCGGCCTCCTCAGTAGCTGGAATTACAGGTTTGCACCACAATGCCCAGCTCTGGAAGCTTTTTAATTTGTCATTAAAAAACAAGGTAGGGCCTGGCATCAGTGTCTCATACCTGTTATCTTAGCTACTTGGGAGACAAATCAGGAGGATTTCGGTTCTAGGTCAGCCTAAGCAGAAAGTGAGCTCCTGTCTCAGAAGAAATACCCAGCGCAAAAGTGGGATGGGGAGTGGCTTAGTTGTGAAGAGTGTCTGCCTAGTAAGCATGAGGCCCTGAGTTCAAATCCCAGTACTGCCAATTAAAAAAATAATTCAGTATGAGTTTTAACTGTCTTTTAACATTTTTCTTTAGGGCAAGTGGAAAAATAAGGAACGGATTCTCATCTTTTCTTCCAGAGGAATAAATTTCAGAACAAGACATTTAATGCAGGATTTGAGAATGCTGATGCCTCATTCTAAAGCAGGTACTTTTATGTCATCTACTTTAAATTTTTTATCTATGAACTTGCCTGTTTATGTATTTACACTTGGCTTATGAAACTACTCTTCATTTGTTCAAGCTTATCAAGCAAAGAACCACAAAAATTCTCAGAAATTTATTCTTTCGTGTACCACATTTTTTAAAATTAAGACTTAGATATGTTCTTTACAGAATTTACTGCACATTTTCTTTTAAGAGGAATGCTTTCAGTAGTCATGAGTAAGGTAGTTGTCTTTCAGTGACTCAGGACTGCCATGTACTGCTAAGCCTTTATAAACTTTTTATTAAAGAATTAATGGGCATGGGATGGGATATGAAGGACCTTGAAGTAGGGCTCTTCTTTTTTTTTAATGGCACCAGGGCTTGAACTGAGGGCCTTGCAGTTGCTAGGCAGGTGCTATATCATTTGAGCCACGCACCCAGCCTTGGCTCTGCCTATTTCTGAATGTCATTTCTGGCAATGTCCTATCTTAAAGGCTAGTAAAGAATGGCTAGTTTTATTTATTTATTTTTTTAAATATTAATAAACAACTTTTATTTATGAACTATTACTGCATGGATCTTCAACATGGGAGATGAAGTTTATAATCTTTGAGTAAACATTTTTAGCGTAACAGTCTTTGTAATCACTTACTGGAGGGAAAAACAAGAGAATGGCTAGTTTTAAATTAGACCTGTGATATTGTCTGCTTTGTGCCTATGTTGGGAGATAGTTGCTGTTTCAATTCTAGGTAATAGCTTGATTCTATAAATAGGTACTTACCAAACTCGTCTGCTATAGTGTCTTCAGATCTCTGAAACTAATAAAATTTTCATTTATATATTTTCTTTTCTCTGATAAGCCAAAACCAATTTTAAAATCAATTTTCATTGACAGCTATGATTTAAAATTAAAAGATATCTTTATCAGTTAAAATTTCAGGGTTTTTTTTGGAGACAGGGTCATGTTATCATCCCACACTGGTTTCAAACTGCATCCTGCCTTACCTCCCCAACCAGGTGCTGGGATTACAGGCATGTGCCATGACCACACCCAGCAAGATTTGAGTTTCTTAAGTGACTGTTTTCTTAAACTGGACTTCTTCAATATAATCTTAATTTTCCCATTTTTGAAAGAGGTTCATATAATAGAGCCCTCTGTGTTCATGGATTTTGAATCTGCGGATTTAATAAACTGCAGGTCAAGAATATTTAGGAAAAAATCATGTCTGTACTGAGTACATACAGACTTTTCTTGTCATTTTGCCTGAAACAATAGAGTATAGCAACAATTATTTACATAACACTTACATGGTACTAGGTACTAGAGGTAATTTCAACTATATAAGAAAATGTATATAGGTTCTATATAAGTAGTACAGTAATTTTTGTATACAGGACTTGAGCATCCAAAGATTTTTGTATCTGCAGAGGCTCTGGTAACTAATCCTCACATTCTGAAGGATGACTACCTTGAGTCTGAGAAATACTCCTTAAACCATATTTTATAATTCTTCAGGATTATTTTTTATTTGCTCTATTTTTTACATTTAAAAAGAATCCAGAGATTGGGTGTTTCCATGTCTAATTTTGAAAACGGATTATAAAATCTGAAGAGTATAAAAATGCTTAGGATTATTTTCTAAATAGCATATGTAATTTAATTGAAATAGCTGTGTTTGAATTCTTGCTAACTTGTTTTTTTCTTTTTATAGATACCAAAATGGATCGTAAAGATAAATTATTTGTGATTAATGAGGTAATTTTACAAACTAATATTTAGGAACACTAAATTTGGCTCATTTAAAAACAATTCAGTCATTTGATGACTTAAAAATTCTTTTGTGAAAGTAATTAAAATTTCTTAACTGTTTTTTTCCCCATTATATCTAATACTGTGTGAAATTCATAATAGGTACTCAAAACCAACCAACATTTATAAAATGAATTTTTTTAAATCATTAACTATTTAGGAAACTCACATTGTAAAAAAGCATTTTGCCGATATGAAAAGCGATCCCTGTGAAATTTACTCTTTAAGATATGCAAACCAGTAGTAGGTAAAATTTTCAAAGTATTGAAGATACTATTTTAAAGCAAATTTTTTTGAGCCAATTGTTTCAATTCTCTTACTGTTGAAAGCTTCTTTTATTCATTAACATGGCACAGTTTTTAACCCATGCTATGAAATGTCTTTGTTGACCGGAGCAATGGCTCTGTTGTTCTGGAGCTTACATTTTCATGAGGGAGATGGGTCATAAACAACATTTGTCATTGCATGCAGAGATAGAGAAGTGAAGCAGGGTGTGGGTTTTCTGTAATCCAGTTGTACTGGAAAGTTCTTTCTGAAGGGGTGTTGTTGAGCTTAATATTCAAGTAGTGACATAAGGAGCACATGGTGGGAGAACATTCCAGCAGAGAAGCTGAGCAAGAACGAAGGCCCAGAAGTGGCATGAACTTTGCATTGTGTTTTATTTTGAGACCAGTAAGAAACAAAAGCAGTGAACTTAAGATTTTTTTAAGTTGGCAGGTAAAATCTCAATATTATACAATGATTATTATGAATAGAACCGTAACATAAGGATTTATTGTTGTAATGTTTTTAAGATGTTCACCTTGAAGTAGGTTTTATATGCTTTTGCTTTTCACCAATCCCTTAGTGATTTACTTGGAGAATCAGGTCACCAGAAATTATAGTGTGAATCAGAAGAAAAACCTAAATTTTGTTAAATTAAAAAAACCTAAAAAGTTGAAAATGTCTTTGGTTTTATAAGGCCTATGTTTTTGTAAGATTGGTAAGTTTAATTAGAGAATGTCTTATAGAGAGCATGTAATTTCAGTCTTTGTAGTTTGTACATGGGACTATGGTCAAAAGAGGTCCCAATAATCAGAACCAAGGCCAGGTACTTTAAAATCCCGCACTAAAGAGTTGGATAGATATCTCACCAAAGAGTTGGATAGATTCCTGAGACGAATCTTAATTTCTTTCTATGAGTAAATAAACTTACCTAGGTACAGACTTTTGTGGTTTTGCTTAAGTTTTTTTGGAGAAATTTAGTTACTAGTTGCATTGAAGTTCTTTAGTTCTTATTTGTGTTATCTGCTTTATTTGTCTGTACCTTGCTTGATTTAGGTCTGTGAGATGAAAAACTGCAATAAATGCATCTATTTTGAAGCTAAGAAAAAACAGGATCTCTATATGTGGTAAGAGTATATTATTAAAATTTGGATTGATCTTGTTTAAGTGGGTTTATTCTTGTACATTTATGTATAGACTATTCTTTTACGTAAAAGGGGCAAATAAAGCAAATTCATTTGATTTCATAAATTTTGAAGCCTTTAATGAAAATTAAATATATGAATATTATAAGCTATTACGGTGTCTTTTTTCTTTAAGTAGGTGGTAAACATTTTACTATATTCTAAATTCTTACTAGTTGAAAAAGCTTCCTTCATATTTTTTAGGCTTTCAAATTCACCTCATGGACCATCTGCCAAATTCCTTGTTCAAAATAGTAAGTTGATTTAATTAAAAAGATTTTTAATAAAAAAGTTAAAAATCTTTTAGAATAATTGTGCCAAACTTTTCACTATCTTTGTTTCTGTTCTAATATTTCTAGTTCATACCCTAGCTGAACTAAAGATGACTGGAAACTGTTTGAAAGGTTCTCGGCCCCTTTTGTCTTTTGACCCTGTAAGTTTATTATGTGGTGTGTGAGATTTAATATTCTTAGTTCTGCACAGTTGTTTTTTTAGTAGATATAGTTTTATATATGGTTTAGTTTAGTTAGCATAAAATAACAACAGTTTCAAACAAGGCATTCTTGTCAAATAATACGTTCTTTTTGCTTTTGTAGGCTTTTGATGAATTGCCACATTATGCTTTGCTGAAAGAACTATTAATTCAGGTAAGTACCGATCCTAGAAAGTACTTTTCGAAATGTAATTGGATGTTTTCTTTTGGACTTTTTTAAACTTAGTTATCAAAAACAAACTTGATATATATGCCTTGGAATAAGAAGCTAATAATACTTTTTTTTCCATACTAGATTTTTAGTACACCACGGTATCACCCCAAAAGCCAGCCATTTGTGGATCATGTGTTTACTTTCACCATTTTGGATAATAGGATATGGTTTCGGAACTTTCAGGTTAGTTTTACTTTAATTTTTAGGTATACTTTTAAAAAAATTGGGATATATGAAGTTTATAGATACAGATGAAGAAAACAATAGGTCCTTTTGTTTTAAATAACTCCATTTTCCCTTCAGAGATTTGCTGTGATCTGCCATCTCATTTCTGAAGTGATCTCTACCTACTTTTCATGACTGCTGGTTAAAACAGATATAAGTTTCCTAATAAGCCATGTGTGTTTTATTTTACAAAAAGGAAATAGACTGACGATCTGTGAGGTAATTGGGTCCCAAGTTCATGCTAAGTCCTTAAAGGAATATATAGGTAAATGTGTTTCTCTTCCAAAAGGTTAGAATACATAGGGAAAGAGAGGCGTTTAGTTAAAGATTTAGAAAATGTAATTGTACTGAGTGTGGCCCTGCTACTCAGGAGGCAGAGACAGGAGAATTAAGAGTTACAGGTCAGCTGGGCACAGTAGGAACCTATCTCAAAAACAAAATACTGAACAAAAGGGCTGGGGTCTTTGCTTAAGTGGTAGAGTGCTTGCCTACCATGCATGAAACCCTGGGTTCAATTCCCAGTACTCCTGCCATCCCCTCAAAAAGCCCATAATTGCTACAAAAGGTACTTAGTAGCAATTAGCAGTGAGAACTATTAGATGAGTCATGCCATGACACATTCAGAAGAAGAGGTGATTCTAGAAATCTTAAAGCAGAATTTGTCAGGATAAATCTGCAGAAAGATGGAGAAGTGAAAGACAGTATCCAGAGCAAAATTTCATAAACTAGTCCCACAGAGACCACTGTCACATGTTTTCTCACATTTGTGGATTCTTGGGGGCGGGGGATCCAAAGTCAGAGGAAGGGAAAGTGGGGAAGAAAAGGGGATGAGAAAACAATAGATGGGGTGGATATAATCATACCACACAATAAACATGTATGTAAATGTCATGATGAACTCCTTTGTACAATTTAATTCATGCCAATAGAAAATAAATTATGGAATCTCCAAATTCCAGACAGCATATGACATAAACTGGGTTCTTACCTGCATGTTTTATGCTAGATACCTTGCAATGCAAGTTAAATAATTCCCTTACTTAATGAAGTCAGACATACCTGAACCAATAACATTCATGAAGTACAAGATAAGATACAAACCAAACTGAAATTACTCAATTTTAATACTCCATGACAATTTCTATAACTAGTAAGTTCAGAACATGATGATTTGGCACTTGCCACATTTTTACCATTTATCTACCTTAATTTAATGATTATCAGTTCTTTTAGAAATGAGGTTTTGACCAGTTTGCCTTTTAGGAATAGTATGCCCAAACCAAAACGCATGTTTGCCTTTTTTGAAGATAATAGAAGAAGATGCTGCTCTTGTAGAAATAGGACCTCGTTTCGTTTTAAATCTTATAAAGATTTTCCAGGGAAGTTTTGGTGGACCAACTTTATATGAAAATCCTCACTACCAGTCACCAAACATGGTAAGCTGTTTTTGTTGTTTAGTGGTCTTTGATGTACCAGAACTCTTTGGCCAAAATAATTTTGTGAAGTAATTACTACTCCATCACCTATGTAACTGAATTGTTCTTTAGTTGCATACATACCTGCAGATTTTTCATGACACCGGGTGAAGGGACAGAGTTCAAAAGTGAATGTCTTTGCCTTACATAAAACATTTATTCCAAAAGCAACTAATCTTTGTTGTTTCTAGCATCGGCGTGTCATAAGATCCATCACAGCTGCAAAATACAAAGAGAAACAACAAGTGAAGGATGTTCAGAAACTGAGAAAGAAATTGCCAAAGACTGTTCTTCCACATGATCCCACTGAAGATGTTTTTGTTGTACCAGCTGAGGAAAAACCAATAGAAATACAATGGGTAAAACCAGAGCCAAAAGTAGATTTGAAAGCAAGGAAGAAAAGGATTTACAAAAGGCAAAGGAAAATGAAACAGAAGATGAGCAGTGGAAATGCAAAATGAATCAATGGATAACTCATTTGTTTTTCAGTTATTGTATATTTTGTATTCTGTGTATAAATAAGTTTTATTAGCTAGGGTTATCTTAATGTCAAATTAGTGTGTCATTAAAAAGTAAAATCTTAACAATCAGTGATGTTTATCTTTTCTAAATAAAATATTTCCAGAACTCATCAGTTAATTTTTGTTTTTGTTTCAGAACTCATATATATAACTAAAAATTGAGTATACTTGAGGTTTAGGCCTGCTGTCTTGGATTAGAATTTTTGATGTAGTAAAGTTGAAATACAAACATATTGGGTCCTTTTTACTTAAAAAGGCATTTGGCATTTTTGAGGACATAGTTTGTGGATGGTAAAGTAGGGATAGAGTGATAGGAAGGAACATCTTAGTGAGAGGTTTGACTTTGGGAGCCACCAATTAATGAAGACTCAGAAAAGCCATACTCTAATCTCATCCCAAGAGAGAGTACATTAAAATGCTTAGGTTTTGAGAATCAAGTGAGTTTATAATACTGTGAACACAAATGACTTATTTTTAAAAAACTGATAGGAAAAATAGGATAGTGATTAAGAGGGGGTAAAAACATTTGAATTTCTCCTGAATGAGTACTGCTTATTCAAAGCAGTGGAGACCACTGGCCTTAAGATCCCAGAGATAGTTTACTAAAAGGGAAAACAAAGATTGCTCCAGTGATAGCAGAAGAAGATGGCTGGCTGCTGAATGGACTTAAAAAATGTGTAATCTCCAATAAAACAATCACGCATATGCTATTCTGTCACACAGCTTTTAGACTTCACACTGGTTGGTTTCCCGTGTCTTTGCTACATGTTTATTAAACAGCATTTCCACTTTTATACCATAGCTCTGTAATTATTTATTGTTGGATATTTGTTTTTAAGTGCTTCTATTTTATTTTGCTGGTATAGGTGGTTAAGGTGATCATTTCTATACATAAATCTCTTGCACAACACTTGAGGTTTCCTAGAAGTGGAATTCAGATCAAAGGTTATATCTGTGGTAGGATTATCTTTCACTGATTTCTAAAAGCTATTTTATATAGTAAGTTATTCTAGACTTCTTTCCTAGTTTATTTTTAAAATTTTTTGTCTTTAAAATCTTTAGGCCCAACCTATGTTTCATTTCTTATTTTCTGTTAAAAGACCTTCCTGAGTTGTAAGTTTATGCTGTTCTTGAGACAGTCTAAACTACATGAAATCTTAGAAGTCATCTAAATCATGGAAGTAATTCAGGTGAGAAGGTCACCTAATCTAGTTAAATGCAACAACTACTCCCCCCCCCCAACTATTGTCACTGGTTTTTATTAGGCAGTTAAATACAGCCTTGGAGGAAAATGAGACTATTCAGGATTTGCATTTAAAAACCACATCTCAGGAAAAAATTATAGGTTAAAAACAAACTGGAGGGTTGGGGATGTAGCTAAGTGAGTGGTTAAGTGTTTGCCTAGCATGCATGAGACCCGGGGTTCTATCCTCAGAACTGAAAAAAAAAAAAATCAAGTTGCCAGTATTGAATAAAAAGACAATACTTTCTGACGTCTGCATTCTGGAATTTTGGTAGAATTTCTAATTTCAGTTTTGAATTGACCATTTTCCATGTAGCAATACTTAATTTTTATTTATTTTTTTTTGCTGTAGTTACTCTGGATATGGTTTCTCAAACTTTGTCGAGGCTGGCCTCAAACTTTGATCCTTCTGATTTTAGGATTATAGGTGTGAGCCATCAGAGCCTAGCTTCCCCATAAAGATACTTTTGTGTCCCAAATTACTTCCCTTTCATGGTCACTTATATGATTGTCTTATATGAGTAGGAATTCCTCTGAACAGGGTAGTCTTCAAAGTCCATGTTTATTTGGCAGTCAACATGTTTAGTACATATGTTTCTTTAGGCTGGAGTGGTGGTGCATGCCTGGAACCTCTTCCCCCTTAAGAGGCTGAGAGGAGAATTGCAAGTTGAGCCTGAGCTACACAGCAAGACCCTGCCTCAAAACACCAAAACCAAAAAGATACTCCTTCAGGCTGATAAATACATTCAGCAGTCTTTAAATTTCCACAATGTTAATTGTTGTACAATACATGTTGGTTAGCAACAGACATCTTGCTTTAGCCGTTCATGGTTAACATATAACCCAATCTAACTGATAAGTGTACACATTCCACCTTACAGTGAAATGTGTTGGTGCACTGATGCATATTATGACAATTAGGTACTGTTTTGATACATTACATTGTTAGGAACAGTTGTACACAACTTCCATCCTGTAATACAGAGCGATACAGCTAGATCAAAACCTGCTGGTTAAACACTTTCCCATAATTGCTTTCTCAACCTAATCTCGGAAAGGTAGAGTATAGAAAGTTAAGGTTAAAAACTGATGGATGCATCAGCACAATTTCATCCACATTGGTAGTAAAGCTTTGGTATGCTACTTTAAAGTGCGTTGATGTTTCTTAAATTGTTTCAAAAACAGTCATCTTATTTGCGGCCATTTCTCACATGTACTGGGTCAAAATAGGCAATATCAGCGCTCTTAGGAAGCAGTAGCCGAAGAGAACGGTAACCAGGTCAAACACCTGGTGTTCCTTCCAAGGAATCCTGCCATCCGTTGAGGCTTACACTAACCACTTGAGCCTGAGCTGCCTCATCTGTAAAACGGGCGTGGTTGAGAATAATCAACTCCAACAAGGTGTTTTCCATAGTCCTTCCCATCCCAATCCTATCTCCTCCTTCAACCCTCAGGTCAGCTGCCCCGCCAGTGGCACTCACGCTGGCGGCCTTCTGTGCTGCTCACAATGACGCTTACCGTGGCCCCGCCTCCCCAGTAGCCCCGCCCCTGCCCCGCCCACCTCCGTGCCCAGGCCCCGCCTCCCACCCGCGCGGCCCCGCCTCCCTGCCGCGCGGCTCTTCCGGGGAACCAAGCCCAACCCCCGCCCATGCGGAGCCACGGTCGCCGGCACGGCCGCCGGCGCCGCCCACTCCGCGCGCCCGCGTGCCGCAGCCAGCGTCGCCTGCCGCCGCCGCGCGCCTCCGCCGCCCCGCGCCGCTGTCGCCGCCGCCGCCGGGCTCGCTGGCTGGCCAGGTGCGGGCGCCGGGCTCCCGCGGGAGGACAGGACAGGCAGCGCCGCCACCGCCGCTTCGGCCCGGGCCCGGGTCTCGGCCCCGGCCCCGTCCCGGGCCCCGGCCCCAGTCCCCCTCTTGGCCCGGCAATGAAGTGTCACTACGAGGCGTTGGGGGTGCGGCGCGACGCCAGCGAGGAGGAGCTCAAGAAGGCCTATCGGAAACTGGCCCTGAAATGGCACCCAGGTAGGTGACCACGGCCACCACAGCGGCGACCTTTCTCCCCCAACCCCCTCCAGCGTGACTCCGGGAGCCCGCCGGGCCGGGCGGACGCAGAGCCCCCTTCCCGGTCCCTCATTGCCGCTGAGGGGAAAAGCCCTCCCCGCCAAGCCCGGGGCTCCCCTCGGCCGCGCCCCTGCTCCCCCGCCCCCGCCTCCCCGCACTGCTCCGCGGTGGCCCGACCGCGACACCTGATGCGCGCCTCCTTTCTTATGAAGTGAAGACCAGGGGGCTAGTAAGACGTCTTCTGCACGGGGATGCCCGTTTTCAGCTTTACTAGGCTGGTTAGGCAGACCCTGCATGTCACTTTGCACCCGAGTCTGCAGGTTACAAGTTGTAATTAGGCGTCTTGCCTAGCGAAGTTTGTATGTTTACTTTTAACAGGCGTGCTTCCTGTGGTGGTTTTATTTGGTTGTAATCTAGGCCTGTGTGACTTGTGAGGCATTCTGATCTTCCTCACTAGAAAACTAGTTTTCTTTTGGAGGTTTTATTTTAGCGTTAATCGGTACATACGGTTAGAGTTTACGCCATACGTAATGCTAAGATCGGGAGCTCTGAGTCCTGTTGGGAAAACATGCTTCTCACACGCGAAGAATTAACTACAAGTGCAGACAATAGCGCAACATGCGTAATTGATAGTTGGATTAGTAGAACAATTTGTCAGTGCCCCAGAAATGTCCTGGGAGATGCTGAGGTTTCCCCTCCACAGATCAGCTTGGACGGGACGCTGGAGGAATGGAACTGGAAAAGTGAACTAACAATATGGGGAGGAGCACAGAAGTGAGCAAAAGATGCCCGTGGGGTGGTTTGAATAAAAGCAGGGTTTATTCGAAGGCTGAAAAATAGGTGTTGGGAGAAAAGCTGAAGGAAAGTGTACGTTCCCAGAGTAAGAAGGTATTGGTATGTTACAGTTAATAATTACCATCAGAGGGACTAAAACATGTTTACATATATTGAGAAGGCAGACGTAAGTGAGCTAAACGCATATCATAGCAGGAAGTAGAAGGTAGAGCCAAAATTAATAAATCCAAAAGTAGTGTAGAAGCATTTTTATACAGTAGCAGCTAATTACCATTAGAAAGAGTTAGGAATTGCAAGGAAGTTGGGAATTCTGTGAATTTTCTGGGTGGGAAAGGGTGAGGCAAAGGATTGATTTTGTGATAAACTTCATATGTACTACTGAGGACATTTACTAAAACGTTTTTGAAGCATAGATTGAAATCAAATTGTAGAGGGTCTTGAAGGTTAGGCTAGGGACTGTGGATTTTTTGACAATAATGGACCATCCTGGCTGAATTTATTAAGATGTCTTGGGAGGAAAAAAAAAAAAGAAAAAAAAAGATGTCGTGGGAGGATGCTATGAAGGCAACCACATGGCTTGAAGAGGGCTGGAGCCAGAGTCAGAAAGAGTCTTCCTCAGTGGACAGGTAAGTTCCCAGCCAGGCTCCAGGTTAAAGGGAAGGGGAAAGGACTAAGTATGAGAAATGATGCAAAGGAAAAATTGCCAGATTTGGCAATTGATTGGCAGTGCATTTAAGGAAGAAAAGGAGGAGTATGCAAATGTTGCTAAAATATTGACTCTGAAATCAAACCTGTCAAGGAATTAAATGTAAGTGTTTTCTTTGAGTATCATCATAATCCATAGAATCCTGAATATCTTTTGGTTTGAAAATGCTATGATTTTGGTGTGTTTGCATTGCCTTAAATCTGTCACTCAACAAACTTTTAATTTCATTCTATGTGCAGAAATTTTACTAGATTATTTCTGGGATTAACCTTCACTACAGAGAATAATGTGCCCCTCATATTAAAAAGTCTGTTTATTTGTCATGGTATTTAAAAAAAAAAAGAGGAAAGAAATTATCTTATGGAGGAATAGAGAATAATTTCCAATAGGATCAGTAGTCCTGCCTAGTAAGATCACTCCTTGTGAGGGCAGAGTTTCAGTAATTCATCCAATGACTACTCCCTGAGCACTTTACCATGTCTCCTGATGGCACATGCATCCTGTGGAAATGCATGTAGGAAAGTGGACAGTTTAATTTGGTGAAGAAGGGCTGTTTGAGGGTAAATATAAGGTGCCAAAGAGCCCATGCACTCACCCTGGACTAGATTTGTGTGTGGGTGGGAAAGATGGGAAAACTGTCCAGAAAATGTGTCTATGAAAAAGTGGGATACTTAAGGTGGAAATAAGGTGGAAATAAGGTGGAGGGAGGCAGGAGAAAGCATGGGGAAGAGGTGGGTGAGCATGGCCAGGGAAGGTTGTGGTATACTACAGTGGGATTTTAGCCCCAGGGCATTGGGAAGCAGGGAAGTGATAGAGTCCCATTTTCAAGTCTCTCACTGGCTGTAGTGGGGAGAAGGCATTGCAGGGGGAAAGACTGGAGGTAAGAGGACAGGAGGTCAAGAAACCTTGAAATCTCTTGAGCTAGGCGCCAGCTTTTCAGTGACTCTGGGGTAGTGACTAGAGGTCGACTGAATAATGAAGAAGAGGAAGAAAGCCCACCAGTTTACCAGTCCTACTCCAGTTTACTACAGCTGTTAAGACCTCTGTTTCCCTGGCCAGGCCCACTCACCTCTTCCCCATGCTTTCCTCCTCAGTCTCAAAGGAAAGCTACTGTTGGGCGAGTAAAGGATCAGTAACCAGGCACTTGGTGAGCTTCACCACCTGACATGCTGTAGGTGGTAGGGCTGTGACAAGAGAAGTCAAGAGGCCAGGAAGTAGTTTCCACAGAGCCAAGGCCAGGGCTTAAAAAGCACAATCCATGAAACTTTCCAGATGGCACTGTATCACGTTTTAGGAAGGAGCAGAAGAATAAGTGAGTGTACCAAGAAAAAGGCACAAAAACTAGTGCAAGAAAGGATGCCTGCCAAACTTCAGTGACTGGGATTATAATTCCTGTGGTTTTTGCATATGGCAAAATGTAGACTTTTTTTTTTAATTGCTTGTTTCACTTACTATACTTCTGCATTTAGATCTCAGCACAACATTGTCATTTAGTTCAGGTGAATTTAAGTGAAATGAAAAGCAAGGAAACAGGTTGAAAAAATTCTTTAAGAAAAAAGTTCTAAGTCAGATGTGGTGGTACATGCCTGTAATCCCAGCATTCTGGAAGTTAAAGCAGAAGAATCTTGAGTTTGAAATCATCTATTTAATGAATTCCAGGACAGCCTTGGTTACCTAGTGAACCCCTATCTTAAAAAGAAGAAAAAAAGAGAAAATCAACAACAAAGCAAACAAAGGAAAAAGCTCTAGTGAGAGATAAAGCCTTATTTTCAGATGGTACACATGTTCAGATGGTTTTATGTGTTAAAAAGTTCCAGCTTTCTCCAGATTTCTTTGGGGTAGGAAAGGAGGAAGAAGAAAAAGTAGAACAAAGTACAAAAATGATGAAAACAAAAATAAAAAGACACTTTCTTCCTGTCTTCTAACAGACACCTTTTTAAGTTTAATGTAGGAAGATTTCGTTGCTGACTTTTTCTACTTCTAGGTCATTTAATTTGGACTGCACTTTTTTTTAAAATCCAAGTTTCAAAATGTAAATTGTCTCTCATTTCCGAATAGGCAAGAAAAGAAGTGTAGACTGGTTAGGTCAATGCTGTGGTCATTGCTTAGGAGCCCCACTTGAGGTGTGCTTGATGAATGTTGAGATGAACATTGGGAAATATCAAGATGTCCTTATCCTTTTCCTTTTGAATTAGTTCTTAATGGTTTAGTGAAGACAGAAGTCATAAATCTTTATAGTTGAACTCTCACCTTGAAAGGGTACTGAGATTATGACAGAAAGCTGGCAACAGTAGCTAATCTGAAAAATAGGGTTTTTGTTGATTTTTTGGGGTGGGGGGCAGGACGGAGGGGCTACTCTCTATGTAGCCCAGACTGCTCTTAAATTCAAAATTCTCTTGCTTCAGCTTCCCAAGTGCTGGGATTACAGGCTTGTGCCACCATGCCTGGCTTCAAAAAGTAGTTTTATTTTTCTCACATAACAAGAAATTTAGAGTTGGCCTCTCCTGGTAGCTCCAGCTGCTTACTTGATAAAGCCATCAAAGCTCATTCTCACCATATGAATCCTTGTATCAAGCATAAGCAGGAAAGTCTCAAAGACAGAGTTAATTGTGTTTTTATGCACAGGTGCAGAGATAAGCAGGTGAGGCCTAGCATAACAACTCTCCTCCATGTCCTTGGACTTTCTGCCCCTTTGCTCTCAGATGGGCCCTCACTCATTGTGCAGAGTGGCAGCTCCAGGTAATAGAGGAATAGAGGCTAGAAGGATAAAGGGACAGGAATGTGCACTGGTTGACTTGTAAGGAAGGTTCTTAAATGCCACCATAGAATACGTTTATACATTGTGTTGTCCAGAGCTTACTCACCTGGTTACACTTAACCTTCAGGGGAGGCTAAGAGAAGAGTCTATTCTAAGGACCAGGTACTTGCACCAAAATCAGGGTTTGGTTGTTAACTGGAAGAAGGGGAAAGTAGACATGGGGCATGAATTAGCAGTCTCTGCCACAATCCTCATAATTGAGAAATGGCTCTGTCTACAAGCATTGAACCCTGGCTTTGGGCAGCACACAGCAGATGGGTTACAGGCACACTTCAGTTATCCCTTTTCATCAAAAGAGCAGTGTCTTTTCTGGGAAGCTTCACTTAGTAGACTACTGTGTATATATGATTGGCTAAAACCAGTCACCTCATAACCACAAAAACAAGGAAGTCTAGAATTTTTAATTGGGATATTGCCACCGTAGGTTTTGTTAGGAAGAAGAGAATAGATGCTGGGTAGTAATCTAGTAGTCCGTTGTAGAGTGATAATCAAAATCTAGAGAAACTGCGACAGCTGTGTTATGTGGCCTACAATACCTAGAACCTGATTGCAGGAGGGTCACAAGGCCCAGTAGCTAGCATTGATTGGCTGGAACCAAAAATCTAAGTTTATTTTTCTCACAAGAAGTCTTAGAGGTAGGTGCTTATAGGCATTATTTCAGTGGCTTGGTAATTTTATGTTCAATGTCACTTCATTGCAAATCTCTTGACTTTTCCCTCATGATCTCAGAATGGCTGCTGAACCTGTAACCATCACATCCACATAGAAGTTAATAAGAAAGAGGAAGGAAAAAAGAAAATACACCAGTAGACTTGCTTTCCTGTCATTGGTAACAATGAGATGTCACATGACCATTCCTAGCAGCAAGGGAGACTTGAATAAGCAAGTATCTTAGCATATCCAGCCTCCATAATGGAGATTATAAGAGAAAAGAGAAAGAAGGTATTGGATGATCTAATTTACAGTGTCAGTCATGGAATGGATTAAGTCCTATATTTAAGTTTACGAAAGTAACCAATTATAATGTTAATAGCTTGTCAGTAAGTAGTTAAAAACACTTGAAACTTTGTTAACTAGTAATTCAATATGGCTTACTATGGTGCCCCTTAAAATTAATGTAGTTAGTGATTAAAAGTACAGTGTTTTAAAAAGGAAGTGGCTCTTATTATTGGTGACTATGTTGTACCATATTGGAAGTAGAGTATTGTGGTGTGCCATAACAAATGGAGTACCAAGTGCCGAGAAGAGAGAGGTGAGCCAGGAGATGGTACATTGGCTGTTTTCAGAAGGCTGCACTGTGGAAGGGCAGTTAGACTCACATTGTGTTCCTTCTTGTGCATAGCAAGGCTACAGAGATAGAGATTATTTTTGGTTAATGTAAGACTTCTTTTAATTCTCAGGGCCATGTTCCTAAAATAACATCTAGAAGCTTTTTGTGTTAAAGCACCTTAGCAAAAAGAGTCATGGCAAACTGAAACACTTGAGAAAGTATCTTCAGTGGTAGGTGTTGAGTAGAAAGCCACCTGTAGGACTTGGGATCAAGATGGTGGGACCTAGGAAGAGGTGGCAGGCTGGCCCCAGAACCACTTATATAGACTGGAAGCTGCACAGCTATTGGAGGGAATATGTGTTCAAGCATCATATCATTTAATCTCTTAGAAGATGAGCATTGTGGCTTAAAGAACTTTGGTGTGCTCCATAGTAGATTCAGAACACTTTATTTTCCAAATATGTTGGTTCTCTTTTGCTACGGAACAAATTACCAAAGCTTTAGGGCTTAAAGCAGCAAAAAAGAAAAACAGCAGACATTATTCATTCTATAGACTCCCAAGTTTTTGAGTCTCAGAATCTGAAAGAAGCTTGGCTTACTCACAAGGTTATGTCACCATTGTCTGGGTGAACCCACATGGTTGTTGGCAGGCAGCATTCTCCTCCTACTGTGTATTCCCTCCTCCTTGTGGCCCTTTGGACCTCCATTCTTCACCTCGGGAGTTTCTTCTTAGGTTTCCTGAGTTCTTCATGCTATGGCAGCTGGGTATGTCCAGAGTGCTTCAAGAAAGAATAAGAGAACAAAATGGAATCTGTCATCTTTGGTAATGTCATCTCACACCAGACTTTCCATTCCTTCTGCCCCTGCTATTGGTCACACAGACCAGCCTGGCTGATGAGGGAGGGGACTGCACAAGGGTGTGTGTGCTGAGTTGGGGATGACTCAGTGCTGGCTACCACCCTGAGGCAAAGACGATTCAAGGAAGCAGAGCTAAGGAAAGAATAATTAGTGTGTATAAGTTGGTAACAAAAGCTTAAAGACAACATGAGCACTAAATATAATCTAGTATTAGGTAAATAAGTCTTCTATAACTGATTTGACATTTATTTTGCTCCTTCTGAAAATAAAATGTGCACTACTCAGGGTTTTCCATTTGCGGATATCCAGATTGAATGTTCAATGATACGCCAAGGCTTATGGATGCTCATGACAGATTCTGACTACCGGCTGTCATCCACGATCTCTATTTTTCTGTATTTATTTATGGCATTGTGATGGAAGAAGTCTCACTTCTAGGACTGGGAGCATAGCTCCAGTGATAGAGTGCTTGCCTAGAAGTCTCACTTAGAGTCTGTCCTACTTTTTTGATGACTATATTTCCGATTTTACTTTAACAGATAAAAATCTGGATAATGCTGCAGAAGCAGCTGAACAATTTAAATTAATTCAAGCAGCATATGACGTGTTGAGTGACCCTCAGGAAAGAGCATGGTAAGCATCTCATCCTTGTTTAACTTATTGGGAGGAATTTGTCAATGTAGGATTGTTGGTTTTCTAAAATTTAATATGCTAATGGTTTTGGTGTGTTCTGAAGCACTTGTCATGTCTTCATTATATAAAATGCAATATGTGGGTGGAAGGAACCTTAGTGATGATTATTCTAAATACCTGGTTTTACAGGTAGTGATAAGATAAATTTTGGCAGTATTACATAACTTTCATTTTGATACTTAAAGAGATTTTTTCATTAAGTGGGACCTTTTTGGTGTATGACAAATTTACTGATGTCAGACAGGACAGGGTTAGGTTTCAAACCTTGACATAACAGGGCAAGATACTGTTATTACAAAGAGAAAGTGGTGTCAGTGCTATTGTGCATATCATCTGTGTGGTAAACATTGTACAGCACAGATAGCTGTCAAGAGAAAAGCTATTAAGAATTCTTGGGCTGGAGGCATGGCTCAAATGGTAAAGCACTTGCCTAGCGAGCATAAGGTCCTGAGTTCAAACTCCAGTATTGCCTCCCCCCCAAAAAAGAAAATAGAGAAAATTCTTGGACTGGAGGCATGGCTCAAATGGTGGAACTCCTGCTTAGCAAGTGGGAGGCCCTGAGTTCAATCCCCAGTTACTGGAAAAAAAAAATTCTTATAAAAATTGTCTTTTATAAGAAAATCAGTTGGGGATCCTAAACTTTTTTCTACCCAAGAAATTTGGAGATTTAGCTTTAGAAGTTCTTTTGAAGCCAGATATGGTGAGATATGGTGAGACACGCCTATAATCCTGGCACTTGGGAGATGGGCAGGAGGATTCTGAGTTTGAGGTCAACCTAGGCTACATATCAGGGCCAGCTTGGGCTGCTACATAGCAAGATCCCATGTCAAATAACCAAAAAAATAATGTTTTTGCCTTCCTCTTAGAACTTTGAGATTCCTTTCTAACTTCCTTTTGTGTAGCCTCTTCTCTAGCTCTTAGATTGTCTTTTTGTTCCAAGGACTCTTGGAACAAGAGAGTTTGTTTGTTTGTTTGTTTGTTATTTATTCATTTATTTGTTACCCGGATGCAGTACCATGGGTGGTGAGGAGCCTGGCCTTTCCAGTGTAGGAGACCTGGTTTTGAGTTCTGGTCTTGCTGCTTATGGACTTCATGATTATGGACAAGTATTTAAGTCACTGAGCTGCAATTTCCTGTTGTATCAAACAGATGATAATAGCTACCTTTACAGTTATTATGAAGAGTAATTGTGTGTGTTTGTGTTTAAAGCTCCTCAATTAAGTTTACATAAACATAGGAAGAATCTTATTATGGTGCATGTTGTCCAATACTGTTCTACTTAGTAATGTCTCTTTCCTGTGGAAGTGCAGCTACCTTTTGAGAAGAATCAGAAATTCCCTGGCTTTGTCAATTCTGTTCATTTTTGCTAGAATTATATAAGGTTTTAGAAGTTGCAGGTGTAATTTTAATCAACAGTCCTGTGAAAGACTTAAGTCTTTTCATGTTCGTATTTCCTTAATATTGTTTGGCTGTGGATCGGACACATTAATACATACACTGATTTGGAGTCAGGAGTCCTTTTGAATTCTTACTTATTCTGCCTTCACCAGTGTCCCTTTTACTTTTAAATTTTTTTAGGTATGATAATCATAGAGAGGCCTTACTTAAAGGAGGGCTTGATGGAGACTATCAAGATGACAGCCTAGATTTGCTTCACTATTTCACTGTTGCCTGTTATTCTGGCTATGGGGATGATGAAAAGGTAAGAGTTGACTTCTGAATTTCTTAGCAAGCAGCTACATGTAAAGCTCAAAACATAAAGAGAGCTCTTAAAGTTATTCTATAGTAAAAATTAAAGCAGTGTTCATTTTGTAATCTGAAAAATACACTGCTTTCATGTTTAATCTGCACATAAAAACCTCCCCTTGAAATGAAATGTACTTTCAGTGGCCAGAGCTAGGTCCTGTAATTCTTCAATTTGAATTTTTTTCATCCTATATCTTACTCTGTGATTAGACTACAAAAGTATTAAGAACTGTGTTTCTGATTTTTTTTTTTTTTTTTTTTTTTTTAGGGCTTTTACGCTGTCTACCGTAATGTTTTTGAAATGATTGCAAAGGAAGAACTAGAGTCTGTGTTAGAGGAGGATATGGAGGATTTCCCAACTTTTGGAGACTCCCAGAGTGACTATGATACGGTAAAAGAAAAGTGTATTACATCGTATTAGTATTTATCACTGTGTCTTTTCCTTAGTTCTGTCCCTATCCCATGACCTGTCATCCCGGCTTTCCCGTCTGAGCCTCCCCTCTTTACCTTTTTATTCATTTATGGACCACAGTCTTGTTTGGCACTCAGTAAAACTCTTTTCTTTTCTCATTAAATCTGTTTTGAAGAATGATTGACTGATTCTGGAAAGCCTTAAAAGGACTGTCTTTTCCATTGTTTTATATATGAGGCACTGGCGATGTGGCTCAGTGAGTGCTTGCCTAGCATGCATGAGGCCTTGGATTTGATTCCCAGCATCACCAAAGAAAAGTAGTGTTGTGCACATGGAAAAAGAAAGATAGAATGTGTTTGAATCATTAATATTTATTACCTTTTGAAAAAGATTTAAGTAAAAAAATTAACAGAATTTTATCCATTTTCTTTGTCACTAGATAGTCCATCCTTTCTATGCTTACTGGCAGAGTTTCTGCACTCAGAAGAATTTTGCTTGGAAGGAAGAATATGACACACGGCAGGCTTCAAACCGCTGGGAAAAACGAGCCATGGAAAAAGAAAACAAAAAGATTCGAGACAAAGCAAGGAAAGAGAAGAATGAACTTGTACGTCAGCTGGTAGCTTTCATTCGTAAAAGAGATAAAAGAGTGCAGGCTCATCGGAAACTCGTGGAGGAACAGAATGCGGAGAAAGCCAGGAAAGCCGAGGAGATGAGGCGGCAACAGAAGCTGAAGCAGGCCAAGTATGTGATGCCTGGCTGGCTCTTTTTCCTGTTAGGTCTAGGTCAGAGGGAACAGCAATAGGTACCTGACATGATATTTTCTTGTTGTGTTCAGTCATTCTGGTTTCACCCTCTCCCCCCTTTTTAAATCCTGGCATTAAGTGGTGTATTTTTCACCTACTAGGCAAAAATTTTTATTTTGAGTTGGATATTTTCCTGTAGAGACCCTTTATGCTTGAGATCCTTCAGCGGTTCTTCTAAAATTTAATAGTAACTAAAGTTAATTGAATTTACTCTGCAAGACCCTATTCTAAGTGCTTTCCTGATAACAGTCCTGTGAGTAACTTCTGATTTTAGCCTCCTCATACTTGTGAGGAAATGAGGCAGACAGGCCCAATATCACATAGCTAGTAAATCAGTCAGGAATGGGGCCCAAGAAATCTGTCCAGAGCCTGCTTTTAGTCACCATGTTGTACTCTGAAATATTGAGTTCATTTTAATCCCTTTGCAGTTTTGTTGTTCAGAGTTACTGTAATACATTTTATAAAGAGCATTATAGCATTCTTTTATAAATTATTCACTTATTAAAATTCTACCCAACTCACCTATTATATTTTGAAAATTAGCACTTTTACACTTAGCTTTTAAATTTCTGTTGTTGGTGATGGTGGTATGGGGTTTGAAGTCAGGGCCTTGTAGTTGTTAGGCAGGCTCTTTACCACTTGAACCACTCCTCCAGCCTAAAACTTAGTAAGATGTAAGGTGTACGTCACCAGCCAGGTGACAGAGTTCCGTAACTTTGCCCCAGTTTTAACTAAGCACAGGTTTTGGGTTTGTAAGCATTGGCAACTTGGAGGAAGAATCTCTCTTGGGGTAATTTTAAGCCTAAGGAGTAAGAAAGAACCATGGAGAGGCATGCTTATCTGCAGTCAGCATAAATGAGGTGCTGCTTTGTGTTTAGACTGGCAGAACAGTACAGAGAGCAAAGCTGGATGACCATGGCCGATTTGGAGAAGGAGCTCCGGGAGATGGAGGTGCGGTATGAGAAGGAGTTTGGAGATGGATCAGATGAAAACGAAGTGGAGGAACACAGACTCAGAGAAGGACAGGATGGTATTTTTTCTTGATTCATTAACAAATGGTGAAAAATAAATGTTACCGTAAGTGATATGCACTCAGATGCCTTTGGGGCCCAAGTGTAAGACAGTAAGGGTAAGAGTATGAAAACCCAGGGAACTCCTGAATCTAGCTCATTGTTGCGAGGATCATGCTGGAGTTTTCTTTTTTTGTTTGTTTTTTGTAAGCAGCTGAAAATCTGGGTTTTTATGTGGCATCTCCCAATTTTTAAATATGGCAGATAAAAAAATTAAAAACAATATCTTATGGACCTCACAAGGGCAGTCTCTTTAAGTAGTTTAGTAATTTGATTACAAACCATGTTCTGCCCACATTCTAAATGATTTGTGCTTCTGGCTGCATAAATGTAATGACAGGTTGGTGTATTCACAAGTGTCTAACTGGCTATTAAAGAAAATGCAGTTAAGCAGTGGGTCCAGTTTTAAGGGCAACTATTTCCAGAAAGGCAGATATTGTTCAGGAGTCTGGTGCATGTAAGTTACTCTTCTCACTTCTGACTCCAAGGAAAGGCTCCTGTCGGTGTGCCAAAATGTTTCTTTTCTCTGCCTCAATCATTAGAGTGCGGGCTAGTGACAACCTAAAAAGATGAGGCTTAGGTATGTTTGAGAATAGGCTGCATATCTGAATTCCCAGACTAGCTTCAACTCTGATGAATAAGACTGAGTGATCTAAACATAGTTTATACTTATCTTTAAATGTGGTTTTTCAGACCAGTAACTCATAGGATAAAATGACAAACTTATTTATTCAAAATGACTAGAAAATGAAGTATTTTGTAATGAATCAGAAGTAGTATGTATAAAAGTGTGCTCGATAAATGTGGTCTGATTGCACACTTTTATAATTTATAATGCTCTTTCACATACAACGTCTTGCTTGACCCTTACACAGTACTCCTTAAATGTAGGTTGTGCTTATAGAATGAGATCCATTTTCCTGAGGAGAGAAGGTAGGAATCTGAGAAGCTATGGGATATTACCCTTTTTTTTCTTTTTCATGTGTGTGTGTGTGTGTGTGTGTGTGTGTGTGTGTGTGTGTGTGTGTGGCATTGGAGTTTGAACTTAGAGCCTCACATTTGCTAGGCAGGCATTGTACCACTTGAGCTTTGCCCTAGCTCCTTTTTGCTTTTAATTATTTTTTGTATAGTGTCTTTATTTTTGCCCAGTGGTGGCATCAGACTGATCATCTGCCTATGTTTCCCACACATAGCTGGGATTATAGGCATGCACCACCATTTTGAGGTCCAGATTTTTTTTACTTCTAATCCAGCATTGACTAGTTAAAGGTTATTTTGTCTACATGGTATGTTGAACGTATACACATAATTGGAAAAGCATACTGCATACAGCAGCCCTCCCTTGTCCTTACTCCAGGGCAACTGTGACCTGAAAATATTAAAATAAAAATTCCAGAAATAGCTCATTAGTTTTAAATTGTGATTTAGTCTGAGTTGTGTGATAAAATCTTGCACTGCCCTGTTCCATCCTATCCCACCTGGAAAGGGAATCACTCCTCTGTCCAGAGTATCAACACATTTTATGCTACCTACCTGTTAGTCACCAAGTAACCATCTAGGGTATCAGATGAGTGTCCTAGTATCACACTGAGTACTTGTGGGCAAGTAATCCTTATTTTGCTTAATAATGGCCCTAAACCACAAGAGTAGCAACATTGGCAGTTTTCATTATTCCAGGAGTAGCCATAAAATACTTTCTTTAAATGTTAATTTCTCAACTTTAAAAAGGAAAGGAAAAAAAAATCATACGCTTAGGTTGCTAAGCTCTCTAATAAGAATGAATCAAACCATGAGATTGTGAAGAGAAATAAAGAAAAATCATGCTGGTTTTGCTGTCGAACATCAAAGTGCAAAGTTATGGGCACAGTTCATGATAAATTCATAGTTAAGATGAAAAGGCATTAAGTTATGGCGTTCTGTACTTTCTGAGGTTTCAGGCATCCACCATGGGCCTTGAAAAATGCTACGTAGTTAAGGGAGGACTAATGAACTAGACTTTAACATTATAAAGAACCAAAGCCAAGAATATGAAAAAGGTACCTTCAGATCTTTATTGATGTAATAATGAATCTTAAATGGTAATCAGTTTACTTGCTTATTCCTTTTTTTCTTTTTGTTTAGTAATGCTGGGGTTTGAACTCAAGGTCTTGCGCATGCCAGACAGGTGCTCTACCACTTGAACTACTGCCCAGCCCTACTTGCTTATTTCTTAAATAGTAGAATATGGGATTGTTTATACAGAGAATTCTGTTTGACTTTTTTAGTCACTTGGAATTTGTAGAGTGTATTGATAATAATTATTCTGTTGTAGTAAAGCCTCAATGTTATTTAAAAACAAAGCCCTCTAAAGACAGTGCAAATCTTTATGTATAATTTGCTTTTTATGACTTGTCCAGTGATGGAATGTTATAAGCTAAGTTTAAGCATGTAAGAGTAGGTAACAGTTGTAAATTATAAATGTGTTTGAGTCAAATCTCGATTGAGGTAAACTAAAAAAACCTGTGTTGAAAAAACTGCCTCATGATCAGTCTTTTAAAGTATCACTTGATTTTTTTTTTTTTAAACTTAGTTCACAGTAACTCAAGGTTTTCTGAATCTTCTTGTAAGCAGACTTATGAAAAGAACTTGAAGGATAAAGTGATTTACTTGATGCCTTCCTTTATATAGTGCAGTGATGCTCTTAAAAGCCCAGCTCAAGTCCTAATGGCATTTGTTTCTTTGAAAAGAAATACAAAAACTTTAAGTTCTAATTTGTCTGCAACTTGAAGTCTTTACTAAGAAGATGTAATTGGTATTGTGATCAAACAGGATTCTTACCATAAGTTTCCTCCCACAGGTAAGGAAAGTGATGAGGCCGAGGAGGCTGAGCTCTATGATGACCTTTACTGCCCAGCGTGTGACAAGTCTTTCAAGACAGAAAAGGCGTAAGTTTACTGTCTTTGACTTCACCTTTTCCTTTAAGGCAGAGTGGATCACTAGCCTCCAAATGTCCCCTTGGGGGATTCTTGTCCAGCAAGAGAGGAAGAAGGATTTGTATCAGCAGTTAAACCTGTTGTGCCAATTCTCATTCATCCCAGTAGTCCTGTGTAATGCTGCATTTTAAACACTCACACCATTTCCAGAAAGAAATTATGCTTGTTGTGACAAAGAAGGTATAGTCACTCGGGAGGGAGGCTACAACAAATGTACTTGCCTCTCTCCATTGTTGGTGTCATACTCATTTCCAGCCATCACTGTTCTCTGTAGGTTGTTGTTCCTAATCTAGGAAGTTTAAACTTGTCCTGCTGAGAGTGCATTTGCTGACAAGCAAGCACTTCATCTTGTGGGAACAGTGATGGAAAGAGAGGAATGTAAAAGCATGCCATTGTATAGAGGAGAAAATGAGAGTCAAATGGATAGGGAAAAGAAGCAAGTCACCTGCAGTCAGGAAGAGCAGGAGAGCAAAGGATGAGCATGGGAACATGAGAGTCACCTAGTATTACCAGATTACCCCAAACAGAAATGGGAGAGTTGTAAGGGAAGTGATGAGAGGCAAGAAAGCTTGGAAGAAGCAGGAAAACAAGAAGCAATGGTGAAAGAAAAATTTTTTAGATTTTTTTATTTGGAAATAATATCACAGGTAAAGAAAAGTCGCAGGAATAGAACGTTGCCTACCCATTTCCCTGTTTGCAAATACTGTGCCCGTTTGCATGTGGGCTCTCTGTACACACTTGTGTGGTTTCTTCCTGAATAATTAAAAGTTACAGATATATTGCTCCTTTACTTCTAGATACTTCACTATATACTTCTGAAGAATAAGGATGTGTTGTCACCTTTAGGAAATTTATTACATTGGTGTGGAACTTTTATCTAATGTGTTGCCCATATTCCAGTTTTGTTAGTTGCTCCTTTATGACGTCTTAGCACTTCAGTGCAGAATCCAAGCTAGGACCATGTATCTGTTTAGTCTCATTTAATCTGGAACAGTTTCCTTGTCTTTCATGTCATTTGCATTTTGGAAGTATACTGATCATTTAAAATATTTTTCTATACAGTTTTCTCATTCTGGGGTTGTCTGTTCCTTCATGATGACATTCAGGTTATGCATTCCCAGGTGGGATATTGCACAGGATGTGTGTCATTCTGAGGGTTTCATATCTGGAGGCACATAGAGTCCTTCTGCTCCTCGTTGGTAGTGATCATTTTCATCACTCAAAGTGTTGTAGAGTTAGTATTTTTCCTCTTGCAGCAAAATTTCCATAGAAGCAAGTTTAATTTGTGGACAGATGCTCTAAAACTCTGGAAATAGCCAACTATTCATCAGAATTTAACATACATTGGTGATCTTACCTTGCCTCACCTTGAAGTCTGGAAATACAAAATCTGAAATACTCCAAAATCCTAAACTTTTTGAGTGTAAACATTATGTCACAAGTAAGAATATTCTGCACCTGACTTTCCATGACAGATTACAGTCACCATGCAGACGCATTAAAAATGCTGTGTAAAATTAGCTGAGTGTGATGATACACACATGTTATCCCAGCTGTTTGGGATGCAGAGGTAGGAGGATTGTGGTCTGAAGCTGCTCCCAGGCAAAAGCAAGACCCTACCTGAAAAACTAAAGCAAAAAAGGCTGAAGGCATAGCTCAAGTGGCAGAGTACTTGAGAACACTTGCCTAGCAAGTGTGAGGCCCAAATTCAAATCCCAGCACTGCCAAAAAAACCAAATTGTGTAAAATTACCTTTAGGCTAGGTATGTAAGATGTATATGAAGCTTAAATGAATTTTGTGTTGAGATTTGAGTCTTAATCCCATGGTATTTCATAGGATATGTAAATATTCCAAAATGTGAAGAAGTCTGAAATCTAGAACAGTTCTGGTCCCAAGCATTTTGGATAAGGGAACTCAAACTATACCAGTGTTTATTGTGGTGATTACTGAATGATAGCTTTCTATTCCTTCTGCATTCATCAGTCAGCACTTGGCCTTCGGTTGTAAACAAACACTCTCCTTTCTGACTTATCTTTCTGTTATGAAATTTTGCAAGTGTCCTGTTATTGTTGAATTTATTTTTCAATACTTTATAATTTGTTACTGCTTACATTTTTCCAGATTTGCTTAGTATAAGTTCCTTCAAGCCTGTTCCAATGTCCTTCTAACATCTCCCCTTCATTTTGAACACTTTCTAATACAAGATGTCTTGATTTTTCTAAGGGACCTTGGTCTGAAGGAGAATTTGAGTGAGAAGTAAGAGTAACAACCAAAACTAGAAAATCTGAATAGATAGTGAAACAAGTTTTCTGCCTTTTTTTTTTTTTTTAATTATATTAGAAATCAAACCCAGGGCCTTGTCCATACTAGGCATGTACTGTACCATTGAGCTACATCCCAAGCCCATCTTTCCTACATTGTAGTTTAACTCATGTTTTCAAATCTGTTTTGTTAATTTTTTTTTAGTTTCCTGTAGAAAAATTGACATAAATACTGCCTACAGAGTTTTGGCCAGAGTTTCAGGGATGTGTCTAAACTCACATTTAGGAATGTGGAAGTGAGGAGAGTGACTCTTCCTGAGAAGGTGAAAACAAGCTGTTGAAAAAAGCTAAAAAGGAAGGGCCAGGCAATCTTAACTCATTAGGTAGAGATAGGAAAGAGTTTCAAGGCCAGCCCAGGCAAAAAGTTAGCAAGACACTTTATCAAAGAACAAGCCAGGTGTGGTAGTACACACCTGTAATCCTACCTAAGCAGGAGGCAGAGGTAGGAGGATCAAGGTCTAAAACTGTCCTTGGGCAAAAGTGTGAGCCCCTATCTGAAAAATAACTAGGCAAAAACAACTGGGGGCATGGCTCAAGTGGTAGAGAAAGCCCACAGTTTAAACCCCAGTACTGCCAAGTGAAAAAATAAAAGCAAAAGAATGTAAAGTACTCTTGAACTCCAAGGCCTTGGAGTTTTCTAGCTCCAGGGGTCCTTGTGTTATAGTTAGGTGTATGTCTTGTAATTTCCAGTGATCCCTCACTCAAAGCCCATAACGTGGCCTGGAAAGTGGAAGCACTTAAAAAGACTTAGTGATTGAAAGGCTTCAATGTTAAGAACTGAAAAGTCAAAATAATAAAATTTGGCAAATATAGGAAGGAAATATATATAAGTAAGAGGAAGTCAGGGGAATGCTGGAAGAACTCCCTCTAGATCTTCCAGGGTCCTTAGTGCCTGGGCAGGCTTCTGTCACTCTGTATAAAATCACAAACATTGGCAATTTAAATTTGGTTGTGATCATGCAGTCATACATCTGGGCACCTGGTCATGAACCCTAGTACAGCCACTCACATTGTATTGTCCTTTCAGCATGAAGAATCATGAGAAGTCAAAGAAGCATCGGGAAATGGTTGCCTTATTGAAACAACAGTTGGAGGAGGAGGAGGAAAACTTTTCAGGACCTCAAACAGATGAAAATCTATTGAATGCCAATTCTGAGGAAGTAATGGATGATACACCTAAACAAAAGTAATTCTAAATATTACGTTTAACTAGGTACACTCTTCACATTAGAGATTGTATTTACATGCTGTTTTATCTCTAGAAGTTCTGTTATGGTGGTATTCTCTGCATCTCCTGGTTATTGCACTGTAGTATTGAAGTGTGTAAAGATATGATGTCATGTACAGTTTTTATAGAATATATGTGACTACATTAAAAGAAGCTGTATACCTAGGAATTGAAATGCTAATTACCATCCAGAATTAACCATTATTACTGTTCTCTTAAATGATAGCAAGTATTTTCTTACCCTTTCAATGCTTTCTGATCTTAAACTCACTGTGTTAATGCTTCATTATTTTTTTCTCTTTGCTTAGTAAATCATCACAAAGTGAAATAATTGATATTATGATTTATATTTGCTCTTAGGCTTTCTAAAAAACAGAAGAAAAAGAAACAGAAACCAGCAGAGGTAGGTTGAAAAGGTTTTATTAACATTAAGTACCAACTATAAATTTGCAGTGCTCTTATCATTCAGTGTAGTGTGTACTAAAGTACAGCACTTCACTCCATAATTGTTGGCTGTGAAATTGATTTAAAGGAACTGAAAATATTTCTGTGTTTCACTGTCCCCCTGCTCTTGTGTGTATCTAACTAACTTAATCACTATTCTGTGTTTTAAAGTTTTGCATGTTACACTCCCCTGGTATGAATTAACTGAGTGCCATATTTAAAAAGTGTGGCTACATCTGATGTCAATTTTAATTGACAGCAATTAAAATTCAGAAATAGTAAAATCTGGGGATTTTACTATTCATTATATATATAGTTTGTTCTGCCAACAACATCAATGAAATACTGCAGGAGAAACATTTGTTAAAAACTTAGGAGCACTTTTTAAATGCTTTGATTGAAAAATGTTTCTATTACTTAAAAGTTTAAGTAGCATTAAGTATTTCAAACTGCTGTTCAAAATCAGTCTCTTAAGTATAGTATTATTGTTACACATGTGAAACAATCTTGTGATTGTTTCTGAACCTGTAAAAGCACTTGAGTTTGTCCTTTTAATAAGGATATTTGGTGACTAAAGAGAATGAAGGGCCAGGCGTGATGGTGTACACCTGTAACCTCAGTTGCTTGGGAGCAGAAACGGGAGGGTGGTGGTTGGAGACACTATCTGAAAAACAAACTAAAAGCAAAATGATACAAGTGTTAAAGTGCTTGTGGGCAAGCATGAGGCCCTGAGTACCTCAGTACTACCCTCCCCCTAAAAAAAAGAATAAAGGTGCAGTAAAATGGAGAGGGACTTGTACTTAACCCACAGCTGTCTACCTTGGTTCAGGATAGGTTCTATTGATGGCAGTAATAAACTCGTATATTAGTATTTTCTTATCGATACATGCTTCAAATGATCACCACAGTTTTTCCCTCCAAAGTTACATTTCTTTATGCCTCCCTTGTTTGTAGCTTCTGATTATGTCAGGGTCAGACACAGTTCTTTGTAGTGCTTCTCCTAATATTGTTAAAGCTCTTTTTGATGGGGGAAGCAGTATGGAGACATGTTCTGATAGACCAAAGAGCCGGAGGCAACAAATACTAAAAATATTGGCACTCAGATTGGGGAAGCTTTCTGTGTGATCAAAAAGAACTTATATATAAGCAACAAGGATTGTAAAAGAAAAACCCCCAAACTAAAACTGAATATAAACAGAAACAATGACCTTGACTGACAGAAAGGAAGGATTAATTCAAGTCCTTTTTTGAACATAGCATTCTTACTGAATTCCTTCCACGTAGTAGAGTTGAAAGGTAAAATTAACTGCAACAGAAGTAAATCTTGAACTTTACTTAGCAGTTCTTTTTGGTATTATTTATGGTTATTTCTAAAACTCTTGTGTATATTGTAGGGTAGCACAAATGAATAAATATATTAATGTGGTTGGGAGTCATTTACTGGGGGAGAAGGAAATGCAAATGCAGAGTAAGGGGAAGAGAGGAGGAGCACTGTAGTTTCCAACTGGAATTGGAGTTGGTAGAAGCACATGATTTAAAATGGTCATAACACCTCCAGCAGTGAGCAAACTTAACACCCACATCTTGGTTTCTAAGTTCCCTTTCCCTCAAAAAGGAGCAGGTCTTCTTCTAGAAATGCTTGATTCTAAAGCCAAGAGAGAGAAAGCAGAGGTAAGCCCAGAATGTCTTACGCTGGAGACTAAGGAAGTGTACCCGGAATGGGACATTCACAAGTCCTCAAAACCCAGCTTATCAAGCCTGCCAGCTTGGAAAAATTTGAGTCTTCAAAAGGAGTAACGGTGATAGATTTCACATGTTGAATCTATTTTTAAAAATTCATGTATGTATATTGAGTTTACAAAAAAGTTGGAAATGCTTCATTACAGGAGAATATGAGTTAATACAAATGCAAATGGCACAAGAATTAGAGATAGAAAATCACAGTTCTGCGACCAACAGTGTAATACGTGGTCTGTACAGAATCATAAATAGATTCCAAATCCATGGGTGAATGACTGTTGCAGACAGAATATCCACTCTGTCTCAGTCACACTCTGCAGATTACTTAATTAATTTAAAAAAGGAAACGGTACTTTCCAGTGGAAAAATCTGGTAATGCCACCTGACCAAATGATGACACTCTTAAGATCACTGGAAAATAGGACAACTGACATTTTGCCTCTTAATGTGATATACTGAGAAGAATGTAGCCTTATCTTTGTAGTAGTATTGCTACAAATGTTTAACTTGTTTCTAATCATTTGACAAGACAGCCGAATTATGAGACAGTCTACAAAAAAAAGCACCAAACTGTCCAAAAACTAGGGAACTGTTTTAGTCAAAGAGATTAAAAAGATAAGTAAATGCAACATGTAGTCCTTGATGGTATCCCTTATGGGAAGTTACAAATAAAGGAATGACTGGTAAATTTGAAGGCAGACTGTATAACAAACAGTTACCAGTGTTAAGTTCTGTAGTATGATGAAGATCATGGATCTCTTAGAGAATGATTTTGTTCTTAGGAGATAACATGGCAAAGACTCATCTGCCTGCAACTTACTTCCAGACAATTCTGGGGGAGAACGTGTATTATATTCAGAGAGAGAGAGAGTGTGTGCTCAGGAGCTTGCAGGTGTGCAAGTGTGGCAGATAGTTGTACTTTAGTGAAGGTATATTTGACAGACATCTTTTTTGTGGGACTGGGGTTTGAACTCAGTGCTTTGCTCTTGAGAAGAAGGCACTCTACCGATTGAGCCGCACCTCCAGTCCGATATCTTTGTTATATAATGCCTATTTGTGGTGGTTGTTTTTCCTGACTGTAAAAGTAGTAGTTGGTCATTACTGATTATTTGGAAAATATAGAAATGTAAATACCATCTTTAATTCTGCTATTGAGATTATTTAATATTAAATTGTGTTTGGAGTCCAATAAATTGTATTTTCTCAGATAGTTGAATAAATATCTTTAGAAATATGATTTTAAGAACTTCATCAATTTCCTTCATATATTCAGCCATTCACTTATTAAACATTTGGGTTGTTTCCAGTTTTTCTCTAAATTCAAGATCTCTTAATAATTTTTATTCATTTTATTTATTTTGGTAGTACTGGGGGTTGACTCATGTCCTCAAGCTTGCTACACAAGCATTCTACCACTTGAACCATGCTATCAGTGCTTGAGCATCTATTCTTAACCTGCTTCTCCTTTTTGTTTCCTGAGGTCTACTCCTACTAGAGTTGGTGGGGGAATGTTACTAATTTATTGTAGCTATTTGGCAAAATAAGAAGCCATTATTACCAGATAGCTTTGATTTGTAAAGGTATTTATGTTTTATTACGTAGAATTTTGATGACAACTTCAATGAAAATGGAACTGAAGAAGGAGTAAAGATGGATCCAGAAGATACTAATAGCTTAAATGAAGACAATGCCAAAGAATTGGGAGACAGTCCCCAAGAAAATGTGACCATTGAACCATGTGATGATCTAAAAAGTGAAGCTAAACAGTAAGTCAAAGTTGCAATTATTTTCTCATTACTGAATATTGATAGAATAATTTTCATATGTCACATCTCCTTTTCACAACTGAGTGAGTTAGATGTAGAGTGTTTATGTATAGATATACATGCATAGACACACATGTATACAGCTGAGGTGTGCTGTAAAGAAAATATCAGAGGAGTGCATTCAGAGACATTTCAACCCCATGACCAATATACTGTGATGCAGTTCCACTTTTTCCTACCTTTGTCCTTGACACTCACATGAGAACAAGGCTGCTGCTGAGCCTGTTTTCCCATCCCACTCTCCAGGAGCATAGCTATCCAAATCTTTATGTTTAAGACAGTGAGGCTGCATTCACCCCACAGTGTTGTCAGGGCCTCGGTCAACTTGGGACCTTCCTACTCACAGGAGCCCTGGAATCTTTGTGCTGCCCAAGGCTATGGTGGTAAGCTAGTAATGAAAAATGCATTATAATATTTTTTATTTTTCTCATTGCACTGTGGAACTATTGAAGTATTTTCACAGATTAGATCAGGTTCAAGAAGTTAATATTTTGGGGCAACTAAATTCATAGATTATTCATGATTTAGTACTGGTTGTTTATGAAGATGGTCTGCTTCAGTAAGTGTATTAAGTGCTTTGCTTTTTATAAAAGATACTGTATTCGTTCAGAGATATTTTAGGAGTACTGTTTTGGCTTTTGTTTCTTCTGTTTTAAGTAGATTCTTTAATTTTGTGCCAAATTTGCTTTTTAAGTTGCTTTTTAAAGTTGTTCATTTGAGATGTGAAGATTTAAATTAATTAGCCAGCAAAATATATCTTACTTCTTAAGTGTCTTGAAAGCAAGATACCAATTAAAAAGGGTACATTATTTTTGTATTCTGAATAATTTATTTTCCAGTGTTCCAAAACCCAAAGGAAAGAAAACCAAAGATATGAAAAAGTCTGTTAAAGTACCTGCTGAGCCACAAACAGTGGTAGGTCAAAATCATATTTGCGTCTCTTTAGTGGGCTTTGTTTAAGCAGTGTAGTGTCCTAAGGATGTAAGTGTGTATTAGGTGAAGTCTACTCCAAAGATGCATCACTTTTACATAATGAACATGGGATTTATGTATGTGCTGCTATCTTATCTTTTTTCTTCAAAGTACAAAGAAGCACATTAGAAATGCTGGATACTAGAACAATGACTATTCGATTTCCTTTACTTTGCAATCTGAGACTTAGGTGGTCAGAGTTACATGTGTCAATTCTGAAGATTAATTGTGAAGCACAAACTGTTTTTGTGCTGTGGTCCATGTGGTACATGCCATCAAAACTCTCAGGATCCTTAGAGTTGATTGTGTTGGTTGATTTGGCTTAACTTTTAAGAACAGCTGCTTTTGTTGGACCTGTTTTGGTAACTACTTTGTTAAAGTGTCTGTCTTTATTTTGCATGTATTTGATGTTTACTCTTGACATTAAAACATAAAACATTATTCTCAGATGATACCACTTGCTTTTATTTGTGTTTTTTCCCTCTCCCTCTCAGAGTGATGTTCTTATCAGCTGTACAACCTGCCACAGTGAGTTTCCATCCCGGAATAAACTTTTTGACCACCTAAAGGCCACAGGCCATGCAAGAGCCCCTCCATCAGCATCATCAAACAGCTTAACAAGTACTCGAAGCAAGAAAGAAAAACGTAAAACCAGATAGAAAATCTGCTAATCCTTTTTTTTTTTTTTAAACTGTCTCTAGATTTTGAAACCAAAAACTGAACTGAAATCACCTAAAGAGTTAAAATTTCAGTGATCTGCAATTTATTGCATTGTGGAAGATTATTTTTTATCTTGTAAAGACATTTTTTTTGTTTAATATATATTTTTTAAACATTTCACTAGTGATTGAATTCTACTTCTGCCATCTGAATTGACTTGAATGTCTCAGCACAGGTAAATATTGTAAAGCGTGTATCTTCTCATGTGGACAGAAATGTACAGGGTGAATTAAATTATTTTAACACATACATATCCCCCTTCCTGCTTTATTTTCTGAATTTCACATTAAGCGTTTTTATTTAATGCTTTTTAGATTTTGTATGATCTCAAAAATTGAGATCTTAAAGTCATCATGGGTTTTTTTCCTACTTAACACCATACTCTAGTTCTTATTTTAAAATTACTTGTAAATAATCTAGGGCTGTGTGTCATGGCACATGTCTTTAATCTCAGCTACTCAAGAGGCAGAGATTGAGAGGTTTACAGTTTGATGCCAGCTCACGTAAAAAGTTAGCAAGACCCCATTTCAACAAAACAAGCTAGGTGTGGTGATACATGTCTGTAATCCCTGCAGGAGGTGGTAAGTAGGATCACAGTCCAAGCCAGCTTGGACAAAAATGTGAAACCTTATCTGAAAAAAACTAAAGCAAAAAGGGATAGAGAGTATGGCTTAGGTGGTACAGCAACTATGTAGTTTGCTCCCTAAATCTACTTCTTAAGAGGAAAACATGCCATGGGTAAAATACCATTTTTAGTGCAGCACAGACATTTAGTTTTATTTGAGTTAAAATATTCTAAATTACAGAAGCACACATTTGACACTGATCTCATTAAAAGTCATTGTAACTACCTACCTTGATGAAAGTTAACCTAGCTATGAAGATGCATCGAATTAGGGCTCTGGAAGGAGAGCCTAAGAGAAATCCCATCTTCTTTCTACAATTAGGGCTTCTCTAAAACCCAGTTGGGTTTGTGTTTCAAAACAGAAGCAGTATCCTTAGCTTCAGGTAAATATTTTGCCAATCCTAACTTTGGTTGTGAAGGAGAAGGAGAACTGTGCACAGGTAGTGGGAGATCGGTCACATTGTCAGAGTGCCTGTCCTGTTGATTGCTCATAAGGCAATAAAAATCTACAGACTTACAGAAGACTTTTTTTCAGAAACTTTCATTTTCTCTAAATCCTCCCTCACCAAATTTCCAGATGGGAAAGTATTTGTAGGAGATTGTACAGGAAATGAAATTCTTACAGTAAACTATTGTTTATTTATTTGTAGGAGATTGTACAGGAAATGAAATTCTTACAGTAAACTATTGTTTCATAATAGAATACCTCCAAACTTGAGGGTGCTGTATTATGGAGCTAATTCTAGCCTAACCTTCAATATAAAACAATAAATTGAACCTTTTTAGCCCTGTGGATGAGTTCCTAACATATCTTTTGCATGCTGCAAGTTCAGTTTCCTATAACAAGTAATGCTGAAGTATCTCTGTTGGATACAGCCCATTCCTTGTCAGTTAAATTTGCCTGATGTCTTGCTACTAAAATTATGGGGTTGAAAAGGGAAAGTACAGATTGCCAGATCTCTTGCTCCATAGAAGAGGAAGCTGAGCTCAGGGCAATATGAGCTCCACAGCAACCACTGGTTAGGGGCTACTGCCATGACAGGGACAGGGCAGATTCCTGGATTCAACTCAGTAACTCTTTCATCACATCCCAAAATTTATTGTCTGGGGTGGGGAGGGAGGAGATTACTTTAAAGAAGAATCAAGAAAAGATTATTTATTTCTTTTGAGACATTGTCTTGCTTTGTAGCCCAGGCCAGCCTCCACCTCCCAAGTTCTGGGATTACAGATGTGTACCACCACACCTGGCTGAATCAAGGTAATTTTGAAGAGCAAGATAGCAATAGAGTTGTCCTGTCAGTATCAAAGAATTTCATAAAGCTCTAACAGGTAAAGCAATGTGTGATGAGTGCCGGTGTGGGTCAGTAGATCCCTGGAGAGAATACAGAGCCCCGCAGCAGGCTATGTGTATGGGAACATGCTTGCTGACTGCAGTGAGCTGTCTTTACTAAGTAAGTACTGCCTTATACCCTTACCCCAAAACAAGCTACATGGATTAAAGACCTACATAAGTAAAGCAAAACTTATAAATATGAACCTGAGAGATTATCTTCATGATTTTTAGAAAGGAAGGATTTGTTTAAAATAAGACACAGAAACACCATAACACTTGAAGGAAACAAGACTGGGTGTCATAGTTAACACTAGAGTTCTTTTGTAGAATAAAGATAGACTGTAGCCTGGAGGAAATATTTGTAGGACATACAACTGAAAAAAGGATTAGCATCCAGAATATATTTAAAAAAATTTTTTTTTTAATTAGCATAATTAATAATAGAGGGTTTTATTTTGATAGCTCTGAAGAGGCGTACAATGAACTTTGAACAAGTTCGCCTCCATTATATTCTCATACTTCCCCTTAGTATCCTTTCCCTCTTGTTTTGCTTGACCTGATGATCTCAAGTTCCATCCATTTTCCTATAAATGACATAATTTCATTTTTCTTTATGGCTGAGTAATATTCCGTGTGTGTGTGTGTGTGTGTGTGTACATACATGCATGTACCATATTTGTTTATCTGTTCATCAGTTGTTGGTTATTTGGTACCTCAGCTGATTCCACAGTATGGCTGTTGTGAATAGAACTATAATAAATATTCATTTACAGGTATCTCTTTTATATATTGATTTATACTCCTTCAGATATATGCCCAAGAGTAGTATGGCAGGGTCATATGGTAGGTCTATTTTTACATGTGCAGAAACTTTTAAATTTGCAGTCCCATTTGTTAATTCTTGCTTTTCCTTCTTGTGCTACTAGAGTCCTATTTAGAAAATAATTACTTATGCCTATATTGTCCAGAGTTTTTCTGTGGTAGTTTCAATGTTTCGGATTTTACACTAAGATCTTTGGTCTATTTGAAGTTGATTTCTGTTGAAGGTGAGAAATAGGGGTCTAGTTTCAGTCTTTTGCATGTAAATAGCCACTTTCCCAACTTACTGGTTGAGTTGAAGTTTTTTTTTTTTTTCCTGTGTATGTTTTCAGTTCCTTTGTCAAAAATCAGATGGCTGTAGTTGTTTGGTTTTATTCTGTTTATTGATCATTGTGTCTGTTTTTGTGCCAGTACCATGCTGTTTTTGTTACTATAACAGTGTAGTATAATTTGAAGTCTGGTATTGTGATAGCTCAATGTTGCTCCTTTTGCTTAGGATTACTTTAGATTACTTTGGATTGGTTTTTCTATTTCTGCAAAGAATGACATTGGAATTTTAATGTGCATTATGTTGAATCTCTAAATTCCTTTTGGTAGTATAGCTATTTTTATAATATTATTTCTGCCAATCCATGAATATGGGAAGGATTTCCATCTTCTAGCATTTTCTTAATTTCTTTCTTCAAGGTTTTATAGTTTTCATTGTAGAGATCTTTCACCTCCTTGGCTAAATTTATAGCTAGGTATATTTTCTAGGCTATTATTAATGGAATTGTTTTCCTTATTTCTTCCTCAGCCTGCCATTGTTGGGATATAGAGTGCTGATTTTTTTTTTTATGTTGATCTTATATCCTTCTGTGTTGCTGAAAGTCTTATCACATCTAGGAGTTTTTTGGTGAAATTTTTAGGGTCTTTTAAGTATAAAATCATCTCATCTGAAAATAGGGGTAATTTGACTTCTTCCTTTGCTAGTTGAATCCCTATTATTTCTTTCTCTTGCCTTATTGTTTTGGCTAGGAGCAGAATACCTCTTAAAGCAGTCATAACAACCTTCTACAAAATTAATAAGAAAATGAAAGCCATGCATTAGGACAGCAGTTCTCAAACTTTCTGGTTCCAAGACCCCTTTATACATTTAAAAATTGAGACCCAAAAGAATTTTTGAAAGTTTTATCTATTCATATTTACTTTATTAGAATTAAAACTGAGAAAATTAAAAAATATGAGCTTATTAAAAATAATACAGGCTAAATGACAATTATGGAAAATAAAAGTTTAATGAAAAGAATAGTATTGTTTTACATTAAAAAATTTTTTTTGATTCTAAGATTTGAACACTTGTCCTTAGGCTTGCTAGGCAGGCACTCTACCACTTGAGCCATGCCTCCAATTCTTTTTGCTTTAGTTATTTTTCAAATAGTGTTTTAGTTTCTACCCAGGTCAAGCTGACTGTGACCCTGCTACTTACACCTCTTGCATAGCTGGCATGACATGTACATGTCACTGTGCTCTGCTTAAAAAAAGCTCTTTAATGTTTAGCTTAAAGTAGAATAGAGCTGGACCCTCAGACCTGCTCCTGCATTCAAGACTGTTGTTATGTGGTTGGGTAAAATATGTGAAGGTAATCCAGCATCATGTAGCTAGCTAATGAGAAAGAGAGAACCTTGTCGATTCCCTGAATGTGTGTCAGGAGGACCTGCCCCTGTGACCTCTCACCAGGGTACTCAGACCATACTTAGAACTGCTGCATTCAAGAGTCATATAAAATTCAAATGCTCAAAAAATGTGAGATGTTCTTTGTCAACTTATGCTCATGCTTTCAGGTTGGCAAAAGGTAATTATTTTCACAAGTGAGACTGGAGACATGGAAACACACTCAGTTTTGGAGTAAAAATTGGTTCAGTTTGGTAATATCTAAGAAAATGGGTGATATGGATACCCTGTGACCCAGCAATTCTCACCATACACCTAGAGCCCCATTTCTCACAATGTGCTGTGTAGATCAGAAACACAGGCTCCAGCTGAGGACTGCATTAGAAAAGCTACTCTCAGATGCCACCTGGACCTGCTAAGTCAGTCTGGGGGGTAACTAGATTTCTTAGATGACTACTGCCCATCAACAGTTGAGAAATCCATGCACATGTGTACCAGGAGATGTACAGGATGCTCACAGCCAGGTTGTTTACCTTGGAAAAATTTTTGAGAAACAAAAATGAACTTAGTCTATAATATCAATGTCCATAGCTAGCCCTGGAAACAATATTGAATGAAGTTAAGCTGTCAAGGAAGTTGAAAGTATACCATTTACACAGCTTTAAAAAATATTATGTTGAAAGGGCTGGGGATATAGCTCAGTAGTTAGAGCATTTGCCTAGCATGTACAAGGCCCTGGGTTCGGTCCCCAGTGCTACAAAACAAACAAAAAACTGTTGAGCATTATTTATATAGAGAAACAGGAACGTCAATAGGAAAGA